TAGCGCTCTACCACTTGAGCCACAGCGCCACTTCTGGCTTTTTTTCTTTTTGCTTATGTGGTGCTGAGGAATCGAACCCAGGGCCTCATGCATGTAAGGCAAGCGCTCTACCACCTTCTCAGCCCCTGCTTTCTCATTTTTAAAATGGAGATCAAACACTTACCTTCAGAGGTACTGAGAATTAAAGAGATTTTGTGCGTACATGTGCATACGAATAGTATATACATACACACACACATATGAGAGAGGGTTTTTTTCTTTGCCAGTATTGAATTTAAACTCAGTATGCTCATATTCAACCACTTGAGCCACACCTTCATTTATTTCTGTGTTTTGCTGGTTATTTTCATAATAGGGTCTCGTGGATGCTTCTGCCCAGAGTGGCCTCAAACAACAATTCTTCTGTTCTTAGCATCTAGAATAGTTAGAATTACAAATGTGTGTCACTGGCACCTAGACACTGCATACATTTTTAGCACATTGTTGGGAACACAGTATGCAGGTAGTAAATTATTAATTTCAAATATCACTTCTTGTATCTCTATTTGTATAAGACTCTATAAAGATCAAGAGTTCCTCATACTGTAACCAAGGGCTGATTAAAAGTGTAATTGTTTCACATTGTTAAGGTTGAGCCATCAGTGCCCCCCCAGAGTAATATAGTCTTAACCTCATAAATGATTATTGGACATTTTTTATGGTTTGAGAGGCCTTTAAATATGTAAAACAAGTTAGCTTTATTATGATTCAATGTTTTCCAGATGAAGGTAATGAAACTGAATTGCAGCCACAACCAAACAGTCAGTTAATGTGGAAACAAGGACGACAACTACTTAGACAGTAAGTATCCCAAGGTTATACTTACAAAGAGTAGAAGATACTGTCATGTTTTCAACTCAATAGAATAAGCTTTTCTCAAACTACTGATGGAAAGAAGTTTAAGGTGGATTATTTATTTTTCATTTAAAATACTTTCCCTCTAGAGAATTTATGTAATTAAAATAATTTACTGTATTTTTATTGTAAGGAAAATGTTGAGAGGGGTTACTTATATAAGTCAGGTGTTGAACTTTTCTTCTTGAACAGTATTACCTCTTCCCTTGTTTTCTGCCAGTTTTTCCCTCCCAACCCCCTCTCCCACAAATTAGTTCATTTTCAACATATTGTCTATTGAGTATCACTGGCTGATTTAATTTACCCTTTGTCCCACCATTTCTGTGCTTCCCTTTCCCATCCCCATTAAAAGAATTTTATATCTGTAAAGTTTTTCTTTATTTTATATCAACTCTATAAGAATATATGTATACCTTAATATAAGCCCAGTGGCTATTTGCAATCAGTAATTTTGCAAGCAGTATTATTAATCAGTAATTTTTAAAGTGTTTTGTTTTAAATCAATTGAAGAACTTGAATTCCCCAGATTTTCCTAATATTGCCTATTTTCTCCTATAAAATGTATTATCTGACCCTAAACAGAGGAAACAAAGCTCTATTGAGGTTCTGATGTCAAATGGTGCAATAGATCCACTCATCAATAGAGCCTGGTCTTGTATACTACTTTTGTAACTAATATTCAAATTTATGCCAAAGTAAAATTAAATCTACATATTTTGGATTTCTGAGTTTTCTTATGAGTAGTTTAGATTAAGGTTTCAAAGTGAATGATTGTTAAATGTTTCATTTGACTATAAGAAACAATATATCTCCTATCCTTTTATTTAGACAAAGTTGAATAAAAAGTGAATAATAACAATTATGTGGATTGAGTAGCTTTTCATTAACATTCATTTTGATCCTATGAGTTACATGAACTTTTTTTTTAACCTTCTTTACCAATACTAACATATGTTAGGCAAGTGCTCTTAACCATGGAGCAACAGCCAACACTCTTTTACTCCTTTTTATTCATGTTTTATTTTGAGACAGAGATCTCATTAAGTTAGTTGCACATTAGGTTAGGCTGATTTTGAACTTTTTATCTTTCTGTCTCAGCTTTCCAAGTAGATGTGATCATAGGTAGTATATTTCACCATCCTTTGCTTTTTCTTGTCTTAAATAGGTAAGCATATGTGAAATGATGATTTCTTCTTTTTTTTTCTAAATGAGAAGTAGTTTCATAATGAGATATTTAACAGATATTTCAAAAAATTGAAAGACTGATAACCTGCTTCTCAAAGAAAAGAGGACATCTTATCAGTCATTGATGAAGTAATTGTTTAGTAAAAGCACCTTTAGTAAAAGCAGTTTTGAAACAGTTATTTGTAGTGGTCATGTTGCCAAAGGGAGGTGCATATCAAATATTGCTAAAAATAGAAAAACAAGCTAACGCCTGTAATCCTAGATGTAACTTAGGAGACTGGGATCTGAGGATCTGGGTTTGAATCCAGCCTAGGAGGAAAGTCCATGAGATTTATCTCCAGTTAGCCACCAGAAAACTGGACGTAGAGCTTGGCTCAAATGATAGACCACTACTAGCCTTGAGCACAAAAGCAGAGTTAAATTCAAGTTCCAGGTCCAGGACAACAAATTAAAAAAATAGAAAAACAAATATATAAGAACAACTCATTAAGTTCAGGAAAGTTAGAAACATGATTCATGATTTCAATTTTTGATTCAGACTTTTGTGTAGATACTGGGTGAGACTTAAAAGTGAGCATCTTGCCTAAATAAACAAAAACACTGTTCTCAACCATTGCTTTCTTCTCTCATCAAGTAGACATCACTGCATAAGTCAGTGCTAGCTGGGCGCTGGTGGCTCACGCCTGTAATCCTAGCTACACAGGAAGCTGAGATCTGAGGATCACAGTTCAAAGCCAGCCTGGGCAGGAAAGTCCGTGAGACTCTTATCTCCAACAAACCACTAGAAAACTGGAAGTGGCACTGTGGCTCAAGCGGTAGAGCACTTGCCTTGAGCTGAAGAGCTCAGGGACAGCAGCACCCAAGCCCAGAGTTCAAGCCCTATGACCGACCAAAAAAAAAAAAAAGTCAGTGCTTAACATTTCATATCATGTTTGTTAATAGCATTTATCTCTTTTATGATCCTCAAACTGCAGCTTTTGGTGGTTTAATGGTTTAACAGTGAATCCAAGTATCAATTAAAAATGTTTTTATGTGGACTCTCAGCATTTTTGATGTAAACTTACTGTTTATTTTGCATAAATTCTTTACTAAGCATTCAAGACACTTTTGTTATATGAAACACAAGGATAATAATCAGCCTTAAAAGAGAGTCTTGTTATCTACATACAATTAGAAGTCAGGACAAAGAAAAATACCCAAGTGTGTATTAAATATTAAGTGAAGAATTCTTGGTTTTAAAATCTAAAGTACCATGACTGAAATGCAATAATAATGATAAAAATGCAAAAGTAATAATAGTAATAAGGACAAATTCAGTTTTATAGCTGAGAGTTTTATGTATTCTTGAAGAAAAATACAAAGTCAGAAAGATAAGAAACAATGGTGACAAGTCTTAAATTATTGAATGCACAGTAATTTTAAATAGGTCTTTATAACTTCATCATTAAATTGAACCTTTAGATTACATGTTCCTAATATTGTAGTTTCATGTCTACTCCATCTTCGTGATGTGTGTTGCCAGCAGTGATTGTAATGTGGAAAAGCCACAACTAGATGTTTACAGATGAAAAAAGTTGTATTATCCCTAGCTAATTGTACAAAAAGGTTCCAGCTCAACACGTTAGTTTATGAGTTCAGTGCATCTTGATCAGTGTCACCTATTTCATAATCCTCTCATCTCTCCCAACCCCACCCATCCCCTCAATTTTTCTTTTGGTCTTTTTTGGTGTTGATAGATATTGGATGTTTTATATATGCCCAGGACAGTATTAGGGATATCTTTCCAGGGAAGGAAAACTGACATTTAGGAGAATTAAGCTATCCAACAAATAGGTGGCAGAAATAGGCTTATGAGCTAGAAGTAATGCTTAATACAAATGAGCCTGTGCTCATTTGTCTGTATTGTTATCTTCCTATTACAAAGTCATACATGTGTACACATACCTTACATCCTATAGTTTAATTGTGGTCTATTTTATTTTAAAGTTGCCTCCAGATAGAAAGTTTTTCTACTGAGGTGACTCTTGGGAAATCTGTATATTTTCTATACATGATAGAGGAAGCCATATATAAAAAAAAGTTTTCTGTAGATCTTAAACTATCCTTAACTCTTTGCATTAGAAATGTAAAAAAAATCTACTAGAATCATTATTAATCATTATTATAAAATAGAAATTTGCTAGAGTTTGAGGGTGAGATTGCCTCTATCCTGCCTAAAGAAAAGAATGTGCCATGAAATATATTAAAGAATACATTCTTCTTAGGATAAATGTAATGAATGGTGTATTGTATAGTTCTTTGATTTTTCTCAGTGACTGTAGAGGCTGGTACTGCAAGAGACAGCTCCATCTGCAGCTGGAAGATTATTAACAAATCTTACTAGCATAGTACTGTACTGTTGAGTCTTATATAGGCATTGAATTTGAAGAAATACTTTTGTTTACATAATGAATTTTAGAATAGTGGTAACTGTGTGACTAATTTGTAAGGATCTTCTTCACACAGGTATCTCCAGGAGGTGGGATACACAGATACTATTCTAGATGTGAAATCTAAACGAGTGCGAGCTTTGTTGGGCTTTTCAAGTGATGTCACTGACAGAGAAGATGACAAAAATCCGGACTCAGTTATAAATGGCACAGAAGCTGAAAGTAAAGAGACAGCAATGATTGGGTAAGTAATTTGTCTGGTAAATATTTCAGTTATGAATTTAGTTCTTGTTAAATAATTTTGGTTTGAGTGATACTATACTTTAAGGTAGTGATTTAGAAATAAGTATAGTCAATTACGTATCATAATTTTAAGTTTTACTAAACCAAACACAGGGATTGAAGTCATTGCTTATGATTATTTAAAGTTGAGAATATTTGAAATCTTCTTTATTAGGATTTTATTCAACACAAATTTTAATATCTTGAAGCGACATACTGTTAAAATCTCAAAGATTTTACCTAATGAAATTCAGTACAAATCTCTTGGAATGAAATTTTATTATTAGCGAATCTGAAATAAAATTAAAATCATAGAATTTCAAAAAATTTAAGAAGTAAATTTTTTTGACCACTCTTGTTTATGTCAAAATTATATAACTCATCTGACTTTGATACATTGTATCTATTTTAAGTGTATATATTTTAATAGGTTAAGCATGAAAAATTGAATTAGCTGTTTGAAATATTTTTTCTTTTTTGGGAGGGGTTTGTAATTTTTTTAATTGTGAAAATACTGTATTTTATTTTTCTTTTACCATATATCATACAATTATAAATAATTCTACTTAAATGCATATTAACAGTCTAGTTAAAAAAAACTTCTTACCAGAAAAAAACTGCGTAATTCAAATCAGTAATTTAATAAAAAGTCAATAATTCTGACAAGTCTAACTATGATATTACTTTGTTTTGACCCATGTTAAAGCTGGAAAAATGGTTTTAACTAAACTGTAAGTTTTCTAGTGAGACTGTAGTTCCTGTTATTTGGAAAATAAATTAAAACTATATGATTAGGTAAAAGTACAAAATAAGAATTGTATAAGCAAGTGTCATTGGAACTTTTGTAAAATTACTAATAATTAAGAATGCATTTACTTGTATTTATAAATGCAAAATGTAAATTATTCCTCTTTGTAGTTATATACCAGCTATTTCTGCTTGCATTTTTGTCTTATGGCTTAAGTTAATTTAGATAATACAGATATAATTTTTTATATTTATTTATTATTTTTGTGCTGGTTCTGGAGCTTGAATTTAGGTCTCTGAGCTTTTTTGCTCAAGCTAGTGCTCTGTCACTTGTGCCACACTTTCATTTCCAGCTTTTTTGGGAGATGATGCTTAGTTGGAGATAAGAGTCTTCTGGACTTTCCTGCTCACCTCTCAGATCTCAGCCTCCCGAGTAGCTAGGATTACAGGTGTGACCCACCAGCATCCAGCTTAATATAGATATTTTAAAGAACTATAATGCAGTTAACAGTTTTCAGAAAATACTACTTCGTTGTGTGTTGAGTGTTGTGGTATTGACCTGTCTTTTTTTTTTTTCTTTCTTTCTTTCTTTCTTTCCTATATTAGTTCTGGGGCTTGAACTTGAGGGTTAGGCACTGCCCTTGATTTTGTGCTCAAGGCTAGCACTCTGCCAATTGAGCCACAGCTCTACTTCGGGCTTTTTGATGGTAAATTGGAGATCAGAGTCTCACAAGCTTTCTTGTCTGGACTGGCTTTGAACCTTGATCCTCAGATCTTAGCCTTCTGAGTAGCTAGGATTATAGGCGTGAGCCACTGGCACCTGGCTTGACCTTTCTTTTGAAACTGACAAGGATATTATTCTGCATTTGCTAGATTTTTTTATAGGGATGAAGAATGGTGGAGGACAAGGAGCAAATGAAAGAACAAAACAATAGTTCTCAGCAGATTTGAAATTTAAGATTTATCTGTTTTTAAAGTTCTATCTATAATTGTGGCTTTATTTTTTTCTTCAGGAAAATGTCTTTATCTAAATCATTTCCTAATGAACTAGAGAGAAATCATTCTGTTCTGGCCATTAGGATTTACTGAGGTTATTTTGAAGCAATTGTATTCAAACCTTATATTTGAAAAATCCAATAATTTCTCTTAAAAATGGTTTATTTAAGGTCAGATATATGCATAGTAGTGTAATTACTAGAACGTTTTCGATAACTCTCTGTGTACATTTGCTATTTTCACTTTTTTAGCCATTTAACAAGTATAAGATTGAGAGAGAAAAAATGACATATTTACTAATTGTCTGTGGTTTTGGAAGCTTTTGAAGCTTTACAAAAAGAAAACAAATGAAAGCAGAGATAGTGAAAAAAAGTACTTCTTTAAAGTGTGTACATTGAACTTGTTATAAGAATCAGAGTATTACTGAATCTGGAGGGAAGGAGTTCTTTATATGAGATTATTACTAGTATAAATAGGTATGATTATAAAGTGTCATTAAAATAGTAGTGTTTCCTGCTTGCTTTTCAGTTAATCCAAAAAATTCAAATAGATGAGAATTAATGTAGATTATATTATAATGTTGTTATTATAAGGTAAACAACATCTGGAAATTAACTGAGTAAGGATGTATGTGTTTTAACCAGAAAATCCGAGTTAACAGATTCTGCCTCCGTGCTGGATAATTTCAAATTCCTTGAAAATGCAGCTGCAGATTTCAGTGATGAAGATGAAGATGATGATGAGGGAAGAGATAAAAGTGTCATTGATACTTCAACGGTGAGTTAGATAACTCAGATGGTATAAATATTTCCAGACCTTAACTTTTTTGTGTGTGAAGTTGAGGGAATGAGGAAGAATTTTTAGCACTGATTTCAAATTCATGAATAATATTTCACCTTTGTCATAAAATACTACACTTTGATTTTTTATTAATTCATTAATCATGCTAGCATTTCAGTAGTGCTGGTGAATATGATAAATGTTGTATCTTATAACAATGCAGTTTTTTTGATTGTGGTAAGATAATTGAACTGTCGGACATATGATGGTGCCTTCAACAACTAAGATCAGCTCAGATTTATGCTGTTTTTCTCTCTTGTATTCAGAGTTGCTTTGGTATACAAGTTCTGTAGATTTTCAGAACTCTTCCATTAAATTTCTCTAAAATTGTTTAGGATATTTCTGTATTTTTGTTTAGATCATTATGTTTATTGATTTTTCTCATGACAGGGAAAGTCATGGAATAAGAAATGTCTCTGAGTGTCTATTTCTTCCTTCTTTTCCCTTCATAACTCTTGTGTTTTTCTTCTTTTCCTCCTTTTCCCTTCTTCTGTTTCTTTTTTCCTCTCTCTTTACCTCCTTCCTTTCCTCCCTCTCTCTGTCTCTCTCTCTGTGTCTTTCCCTCTTTCCCTCCCTCCCTCCCTCCCTCCCTCCCTGCCTCCCTCCCTTTCTTCCTTCCTTCCTTCCTTCCTTCCTTCCTTCCTTCCTTCTTTTTTGGTGTTGTGTTGGTTGTGGGGCTTGAACTCAGAGCCTGGGTGCTGTCCCTGAGATTTTTTGCTCAACCACTTTGAGCCATAGTGCCACTTCTGGTTTTCTGGGGGTTGATTGGAGATAAGAGTCTTAACAGGCTTTCTTGCCTGGTCTGGCTCTCTTCTTCTTCTTCCTCTTCTTCTTTTTTTTTTTTTTAAGTAAGAAGTTAGGACATGCTTTGTTTTATTTAGGAAATGTTTGTTGTTTTCTTTCATATTTATTTAAGAATAAGAAGGAAAAAAGTAAAGTAATATGAAGCAGACTAGACCTAGGGTTAAAAGATTTGAAACTGCCACTAATAGTGCTTCTTAATGGGTAAGGCTGTTTTTATACTTTGTAAAATGAGGATTATAATAAATACACATCCCCTGAAGATTTTATGATACAAAAAATACTATATATGAAAGTAAGTTTAGTGGACAAGGAGCTGTCCTCCAGTGGTAGATAGATATGTGTCAGGATAGCCTCATTTCTAGAGGTAGAAATGATGAACAGTGGCCCACACAGAATACCCTATTCCCTTTTCCTGATGGTTCCTGACCCTGTTCAGTGTCCTCCACATCCTATGTGTCAGAAACAAGCACTTTACTTTCGTGGTAGTTTTTATTTTATCTGATCACTCAATCCTCTTTGGAAAGACAATGATACTCTTTTCAGTTGTCTTTTAGGATTGGACAATTTGTTAGTAGTTTTGGGACAGTGTTATACTATGGACTGTGATGCAGTAGACTATTTAAAGACACATTTAAAGATATATATCTGATTGATATGAATATACCTGTTTGCTTTACTATACCTGACTTATTTCATTTCTTAGGTTAAAATGAGAAATATATACCACATGTTTTTGCTTTTGTTTTGGTAGTTCATTGAGGATAAGAGTCTCATGTATTTTCCTGCCCAAGCTTATTACTTGGAACTACCAGCCTCCTGACTTGCAGAGATTATAGGTGTGAGCCACCAGCTTATAGAGTAGTTTCTAAGTGCAATTTCTGTTTTCTTATGTCCTCTTCTTCCCAGGATCCATCAAAGACTTAAATTATTACTGCCAAATTGCTGTTTTTCAAGACCACTAATTAGTAACACTGTAATACTGATAACAGCTCTGTCATGATTATTACATGAACTTTAAGCACTCAATCAAAACTTTTCTGATCCAGACAAGTAGTACTGGCATATGCCTTCATTTACAGTGGCAAAAAAAAAAAAAGCCTAAAAGTCCAGAGTACTTTTTCTCTATCCTAGTCACCTGAAAATTGGGAGTCATTAAAGTTTCTGTGGGGTGATTGCACTGAGATGATATTTTTTTTATCAGAATTCTTTGTAGCCTAGTGGTAAAAAACACTAATTACGATGATGTAATTTTCTTTACTGATTATATGAATTTAAGTATTATCAGTTTAACTATTAAACATATTAAAACTATTTTGAATTCTTTGACTAGAAATTTCTAAGAATAGCCTACATTTCTAACCACTTAATTTTTCTAATTCATCATCATTTAGGGTTTTTTTTTCCATAATCAGATCCGTAAATGTATGTTGTGTCTTTTGTAAAGTGCTCTTTTAGCGAGCACTAGATTTTCCCTGCCTTTTTTGTCAGACAATGCAAACAATTCTCTGTTTATAGAATATTAGTGATGGCTCCTCTAAATTACAACTGGCATCCTATCTGAGTCAAAGATCAAAGGGGATCAAGTCTCTAGGATAAAGGAAAGTGGAGGTGGCAGTGTATTTATAGATGAGATTTGTATGTGGCCTGTTGATAGAACTCTTCAGAAACATTTCTTGGGCTGTGTAGAGTGCTTGTCTCATATGCACGAAGCTCTGGGTTCAATTCCTCAGTACCATATAAAAAGCCAGAAGTGGTGCTCTGGCTCAAGTGGTAGAGTGCTAGCTTTGAGCAAAAGAAGCTCAGGGATAGTGCCTAGGCCCTGAGTTCAAGCTCCAGGACCTGAAAAGAAAAAAAAAAAAAAAAAAAGCAAGCATTTCTTTGGTCTGGTTTCCAGGGAAAATTGGAAGAAATGATCAGCATGGGTTTGTGAGTACTTGCAGAAGACAACCCATCTAATACGAGCTTTCTGTTTATAACCTGCCATACTAATCTTGTTGTTTCTTGTTTGTTTGCTTGTTTAGTTGCTAGATTTTAGACTGGAAAGTACTTTAAGCATAGAAGTATTTCTTAATTTTAGAAAAATACTCCAAAATTAGTAAACCAAATATAGCATCATTAAATAATCCTGATCTCTCCTGTTCAGTTTTTGTGTATCCTTATGGATAGTTAAGACAGGTTTAGTCTGTAATGTTAGCTCTGTCCCATTAGTAGTGGCTTCCTGAACTGTGGAGGATTTCTGAGGCTGTTTCATCTTTGATGAAAAGAGCTGCAGTTGAAAAGTGATACCTGATGTGAGCATGAAAACAGGGCCATCAAGTCAAGTGTTATTTCTTAGAGTCTTTTTATTTAGGGCTAAACCTTTAAGCACTTTCTAGAGTGTTTAACTTTAGTGTGTTTCATTTTAAACACTCAAAAAGTTCCAGGAAAAAGTATAGTCAGGTCATGCTATTTCTGTTTTACATGAAGTAACAAAACTAAAGTCTGGAGAAATTAAGATTTTGAAAGAAACTCTAAATTACTTATTCTACTTTCTTTGGGCTCATATTGGTTCATGTGACCACAAAGGAAGATAATTTATCAAGAGCACAAACATATTGATCTCAAAAATCATCAAAAATATTTTTAGCTCTGGATTTGTAATGCTAAACATTTCTCTATAAACATATTAAAATAAGATAATAATCTTTACCATAGTTGGTATTAAATCTAGGATATGCTGGGATATGTTACTTTGAAAGATCAGGTTTTTTTTTTTTTTGAGGACAAAGTAAATATATAAAGATCTCTAATATACTACAAGTTGGCACTTTAAAAGCTTAGGCAGGAACATCTCAAGTTTGAGGCCAACCTGGGATTCAAAGCAAGACCCAGTCTCAAAAACTAAAATAAACTGCTATTGGAGAAGGTGATACAAGATTAGAACAGTAGAAATAATAATGGGAACCGGAGAGTATCTTGTGATTCTTAAGAAGTATTTCTGAGTTTGTAGTTTTTTTGTGATTTGGTGTTTCGTGTTGGGGAAGAGAAGTTATTATTCATAGGATTGATGATGTGGCTAAATTGGTACAGTAATACCTGTCTCGCAGGAATGAAGTCCTAAAGTCAAACCCTAGTACTTTCCCCCCTAAGTTATCAGGGTTATATTTTGAAAAATTCTTGTAATATTTTATTAAATGTGTTATTGGGGGCTAGATTAGAATGTTTGCAAACTGCACAGATAGCATCCAAGAAATAAAATATTTGATTGTTGTTCATAATACCGTGTGTTAGGGACATTTTAATTTATCTATAATTTAAGTACATATCTTATACTCCAATAATATCTATCCTCTATTTAAAATGAGCCATTGAACAAAGTTTAAACTATTGTTTTAAAATGTATAATATATATCTTTTTAAATGATCTGTGTATTTTTTACAGAATTACATAGTTTATCAGCTGGATGCTGGTGGCTCATGCCTGTAATCCTAGTTACTCAGGAGGCTGAGATCTGAGGATCACAGCTCGAAGCTAGCCTAGTGAAGACTCTAATCTCCAATTAAAAAGCCAGAAGTAGTGCCATGACTCAAGTGTTAGAGCACTAGTCTTGAGCACAAAGAAGCTCAGGGACAGTGCCCCAGGCACTGAGTTCAAGCCTAGGACTGGCAAAAAAAATAAAAAAATATTCTAATGTTTAAATTTATTTTTTCATTAGATTGTTAGGAAAAAAGCATTGCCTGATACCAGTGAAGATCGAGATACAAAAGAAGCTCTAAAGGAGTTTGACTTCTTGGTTACATCAGAGGAAGGAGACAATGAATCTAGAAGTGCAGGTGATGGAACAGACTGGGGTAAGGAAGAACTGGATTCAACTAGATGTCTAAGTAAACAAAAGAAATCAATGATTTACCAGGAGAGCAATGCCTTGAAGAACTATAATATTGAAACAGTGACCATCCCATGAAAATTTCACTACTTTTTTGTTCATGGGTGTGTTTTTGTTTAAGGAAGATTGTATAACTAGTTACATATATCTATTTATATGTGCTATATAATGTGGAAACAAATTTGAATTGAAGTGCAGAATGTTATGTTTTGTACTTACACAGTAGCACTTGAAAACCTAGACTTTTGTGGAAACTTCAATATGAGAAAGTAAGAGAGGATTTTGAAGATAACATTTCATCTCTAGTATCTTTTGTGCACAAAGAAGTACGTTAGAAATTCATAGTTGCTCATTTTGCCAGCTTAGATGGGCATTAGTTAGGAATTTTTTGTTTCTGTTTAAATGAAGCTAATATTTTAACTTCTAACGAGTTAAATATTTTGGAAAAACTTCTATACCATAGATTATTATTATACTAGTTTGGAAATTGATTTACTGTCAACAAGGGAAGGTGTGTGTGTGTGTGTGTGTGTGTGTGTTTGTGTGTGTGTGTAGGGGTGTGTGTGTGTTCAGGAGATGTGTGTGTGTGTGTATAGGGGTGTGTGTGTGTTCAAGAGATGTGTGTGTGTGTGTGTGTGTGTGTGTGTTCAAGAGAGAGACCAAGAAAAAGGGAAATTCTGATACTTGAGTAGGGTTTTGTTTTTGTTTTTTGCCAGTCATAGGGCCTGAACTCTGGGCCTGGGCTCTGTCCCTCAGCTCTTCAGCTCAAGGCTACCACTGGAGCCACAGCGCCACTTCTGGCTTTTTCTGCTTATGTGGTGCTGAGGAATCGAACCCAGGGCCTCATGCATGCAAGGCAAGCGTTCTACCACTGAGCCACCTTCCCAGCCTTGAATAGGTATTTTTTGAGAGAATATAATGTAACTAGTGGTTGAAAGAACTTCAGTGTTCTTTCAGTGTTAAAAGATGAGCCAATGGCTTCTTATTTGAAATGGATGTTTCTGAGTTAATATTTTGTTTATAAGGATAAAAGTAGCTGTAAACATCATATAAAATTATTAAATCATTATTTAAATGTTGATACATGACATTATAAACATTTCATTTGCTTTTCTTCAAACAGCTACTTTAAATATTGATTTCGGTATGACTTCAAGAATTTGACTGCATTACTAAAACAAAAGCATCATTTATCCCTATAAACCCTAATTTTTAAGTTATATTCTGTCTGCCTGGGCACAGGTGGTTCATGTCTGTAATCCTAGCTACTCGGAAGACTGAGATCTGAGGATCATGGTTTGAAGCCAGCCCTAGCAGTAAAGCCTAAGACTCTTGTTTCCAATTAACTTTCAAAAAAAGAAGTGTAACTGTGGCTCTAGTGGTAGAGTGCTAGCCTTGAGCAGGATAGAGACCAGGTTCTGAGTTTGAGCCCCAGGACTGGCACCAAACAAACAAAACAACGTAACACATCCTATCTCGAGGGTATACAAAAGCATTCTAAGGCCAAAAAGAAAAGCCATTGGCTCTTACCTATAATTCTAGCTATTCAGAGGCTGAGATCTGAGGATCTTGGTTTGAACCCAGCTAAGACAGAGAAACCTGAGACACTCTTCATCTCCAAAAAACCATCAAAAATCTGACACTAGAGGTATGGTTCAGGTGGTAGAACACAGCCATGAGTAAAAAAGCTGAACTAGAGCACTAGGATCTGAGTTCAAGACCCAGTACTGACACACACACATACAGATGATACCTTTTCCTTCTCTTATGTTAAAAATTTTGCTCAAATTTCCCTCTTTCACACTTGTTTAACCAACCTAAGTGGCTGACAAGAAGACTATCAGGTAAGTTCAAGAGAAATATTTTTAGTAAACAGAATTTATGTATACATGTATGTGTATTTGTATTCTTTTTTTCTACCTGAAACACTCTTAACAATGAACATCATTATGATCACCTCCAAGAAAAAATGTTCTTTCTCTGTATACTATGATTAATCCCAATAGCACATGATCTGAAAAAAGTGGATTATATAGGAATTACTTTTCTTCTTTTGTATTCAAGGTAGATTTGAACTCTTCTTACCCAAAATCCATTATTATACTAGAAGCACTTATGGAATCTTATGGCGACTTTTCCTATTGAGCTGTTAAGTAGGTCACCAGTACAAATCACTATTATTTTGCATTTATTGGAACTCCTCATGAGAGAAAGGAAACTCAGCTGACTTTTTACTGTTCTTTCAACTCATTTGCAAATGTTTCTAGGCTAGCTGGCTAGTTCATTTGTCACAGAATCATTGTAAATAGATATTGTGATACTGTGATAATATCGACAATTAGAACCATGTCACATACTAGATTTTTCATCTGTCTTTATTTTTTCTTAAATCGTGTAAATTTACTGTTAGTTTAACCCTTTAATTTCTTACTTCAGGGATTCTGTCTTGATACTATTGCTATTTATTCCTTTTTTGTGACAAAAATGTGAAGAATTGGGTTGGGAAGGTGGCTCAGTGGTAGCTTGCTTGCCTTGCATGCATGAGGCCCTGAGTTCAATTCCTCAGCACCACATAAGCAGGGGGAAAAAAAATCCGGAAGTGGCAATGTGGCTCACAAGTGGTTGAGTGCTAGCCTTGAGCTGAAGAGCTGAGGGACAGCACCCAGGCCAGAGTTCAGGCCCCACGACTGGACCCCCCCCCCAAAAAAATGTGAAGAATTATTTATGATAATTAAATAGAAAAATACACTTGCTTCAAGAGAACAAAGTTTTGAAGTTTAGTGAAATTGCTTTTTATTATTCTCTACTGAACTTATTTATCAAGTTACCTAGATATTTTAGGCAACAATTCCACATTATAGGAATAGCTTCAGCTATATCACAGTTAAGGTGTTTCTCTGAGAATCACATATCTACATAGATGATAATTGACCCTCTTTCATTGCCAGTCTCATTACAGGTATTTGGGACTTCTTTTTTCCTACCAAAACAGCTATAATTTCCCTTGTATAACTTCTTTCATTTCATTGTGTGAGTCATTGTCCAGTGTATTACATGATGCATGTGTATACAGTTTAACCCAATATTGTATGAGGTAACTGGTGAAAACATGTTTGAATTGTCATATGCTTTTGTAGTGTATTTAAGTCTATCTGTTCATGAGTGAATAGAAGTGGAGGCTTCTTCACCCCTAGTTTCACCTGTTTAAGGGTCAAGTAGTAGAGCACCAGCTGAAGGAGCACATATGAGACCCTGAGTTTTAAAACTTGGTGCCAGAAAAAAAAATTCACAGAAAAGTTTTTGTTCTAATTTCAGATGATCTCAATATTCACTTGACAAATATTGTTTGATCGGGTATTTTATATGTGCCAGATCTTCCAGATAAATTGTTACTTCTGTAATGGCCTACAATCAACTAAGAGGACCTAGGCCATGAGCAATAGACCTAGTAAATGATACAGGATAGCAGTGGGTGATAAATGCTATGAAAAGAGCAAAAGAACAGAGTAAGGGAAATAAGGAGAGCTCAAGTTGGGGGTAATAATAAGAACAGGGATGCGATGGTAAGCTCCATTAAGAGGGTAGCATTTGAGCAAAAGACTTGAAGTTGATAAGGAAGTTGGCCAGGTAGAAGTATTTAGAAGGAAGAAAGTCAGAGTAGATACGAAGATAATAATAGTCCTGGAATGGCTAAGGAATTCAAGCAAGCCACAGTAGTTGGAGCACAGTGATTTCCAGGGGGCTCATAATAATCAGTGGCCACATTATGTAAGGCCATGTCAGTTATTGGTGAGATGGAGAACCTTGAGAGGGATTTGAGCTGATTTTTTTTTTTTTTGTCGGTCATGGGTCTTGAACTCTGGGCCTGGGTGCTGTCCCTCAGCTCTTCAGCTCAAGGCGAGCGCTCTACCACTTGAGCTACAGCGCCACTTCCGTTTTCTGGTGGTTAATTGGAGATAGGAGTCTCACAGTCTTTCCTGCCCGGGCTGGCTTTGAACCGCGATCCTCAGATCTCAGCCTCCTGAGTAGCTAGGATTACAGGCGTGAGCCACCGGCGCCCGGCTTGAGCTGATTTTTAAAGCAACACTCTGACTACTATACTGAGAATAGGTTACCCAGAGAACCACTGATAACCAACTTGAAGGAAAGGAAATAATTATTGCAGTCTTTCTTTCTTTCTTCCTTTCTTTTCTTTCTCTTTGTTTCTCTCTCTCTCTCTCTCTCTCACTCCCCCCCTCTCCCCCTCTCCCTCTTTCCCTCTCCCTCTCGCTTTCTCTTTCTCTCTTTCTCTTTCTTTCTTTGTTGGTCATAGGACTTGAACCTCTGGGCCTGAGTGCTGTCCCTCAGCTCTTCAGCTCAAGGCTAGCGCTCTACCACTTGGGCTAAAGCGCCACTTCCAGTTTTCTGGCGGTTTATTGGAGATAAGAGTTTCATGGCCTTTCCTGCCTGGGGTTGGCTTTGAATCGTGATCCTCAGATCTCCGCCTCCTAAGTAGCTAGGATTACAGGCATGAGCCACTGGTACTCGGCTATTGCAATATTAAGAGATCCCAGTGGTCAAAGAAGTGAAGTGATCTGTTGAAAATTCACATTCTAGATGTATTTGAACATGGAGAAAGCAATATTTTCTGAAATATTCACTGTGGAATGGAAAAGAAAGGTTTTTGGTCTAAGTAGATAGAAGTATAGAATCACTATTACATGAAGTACAGAACCCCATGGAAACAGATTGGATGAGGAGGAAACTGGGAGTTTGTATGTTCAGTTTGCAATGTCTGTTTGACTTTCTAGTGGACAGGTAGAGTGAGCAGTATGATATGCATGTCTTGAATTCAGACTAGAGTTTTGAGCTAACACTTCCATGGTATTATTGAGCACAATTATTTTATAGTAAGTGTAAGAGATCAAGCTTATATTTACTGTTTAACGTTTTCTGAAATAGTATTGAGTATCTTTTTTACTAGAAGCTCCGTTTCTTATTTTGAGAATTTATAGACTAACATCAGTTTTAATTTTTGACCTTACAAATTGCTATTTTTAGTATTTTTATTTATTATTTTGTCAGTCATGGGGCTTGAACTCTGGGCTTGGGCACTGTCCCTACGCTCTTCAGCTCAAGGGGAGCACTCTTCTACTTGAGCCACAGTGCCACTTCCGGTTTTCTAGTGGTTTATTGAAGATAAGAGTCTCATGGACTTTCCTGCCTGGGCTGGCTTTGAACCATGATCCTCAGATCTCAGCCTCCTGAGTAGCTAAGATGATAGGCGTGAGCCACCTGCACCTGGTTTCAAAATGCTATTTTTAAAGTCAGTAAAATAAAGAGTATGTCAATGAACACATGCCAAAATCAAAAGTGTTGAAATAGAAAGATCATTACAGATGAGTTTGTATTATCTCTGAATAAGTCTTTTCTCTTTAGCACAAAAATAAATATGAAGTGTATTTTGTGAGATTCTATTCATGAAAGAAATCACAAAATATAATGAATAATAATGAGAGGTTCTTGAGTATAAGGTATTTGGAGAGTTGCTTAAATTTCTTGATTTTTTTCACATATCTCTTTCAGAGGAAATTTATTCTTGATTAGGGATTGAACTGATGATTACTTCTCAGTGGTTATGTTTCTGTGGCTAAGTAAATAATGCTGTAGAGAAAATGGTGTCTATCGAACATATTGACTTTTAGAGTATTTGATATCTTATTGAAAAAGGCTATTTCATTTGTTTTACTCTGTTTAGAAAAGGAAGACCAATGTCTCATGCCTGAAGCCTGGAATGTGGACCAGGGAGTAATTACCAAACTCAAGGAACAATACAAAAAGGAGAGAAAGGGGAAAAAAGGGGTGAAGAGTAAGTGGAAAACATTGTATCTGTAAATCATAAATCTTGCCTCTTTTTACATCTCCCAAGTTTTTTTTTCAATGTTTTCCTAAAACTACTTACTCTTTTTCATTTCTGCTCCTGACCTCTTTCCTTTCACCTACTCTCAGGGGTTGAAATTAAATGGTTAGCCATTTGATTATGAAGTTAACAAAAAACCATATATGAGTATGGAATAATAACAAATTTAAGAGCCTTATGAGAGTATTAAACTATATATTTAAATAGTGATAAGTTGATATTTAAAAGTGTATATGCCAAATTACAATGATATTTATTCCTAATGGCAGTTTATAAATCTCATCTAACTTGACCTTCTGACAAACCAGCAAAGATATTGCTTATACTTTAAGATTTTGAATACAAAATTTCTACCCCTGAATGCTTCATGTTCACAATACACAGTTCATTTGCTCACAACCACTATATGCTATACAGGGCACAGAATCAAAAGCATAAAGTCTTTTTTTAATTTAAAAACTTTGGCCAATTTAATTCATAGCAATTTTACTAGTTACCTTTTTTTTCTTTCCAATAATATATTTGCTGTATCAAAAACAAGCTAAAATGAAAGTTCCAGCCCTGTGAATCATATAATTCATTATGCAAATGAAAGGCTTAACAATAGACCTAGTTAAATATGTAAAGTGGAAATACTAACTCTTTCAAAACATCTCTAAAAACAATCTTAAACATTTATTTAGGAGAACAAGGCTAAAGAACCTTCTCATATTCCCACCCTCATTGTTAATTGGCCTCCCCTTTATGGTAATAGAAATTTCATCCATTGTGATATAAAGGGCAGTGTAAGGTGAGATTAAAGTATAAACTTAGTGAAAAATGTATTTATAACTTGAAAAAAAACAGAGGGATATGCTTTATCGCTCTATTTTTAAATTGTATCAACCAGTTCAGGTATGACATTTTTTTACAGTGTGGTAGTAACTTGAAAACATTTAGAACTTTATTTTGAATACTTAGAATTTATTGATGTTTAAAAAAATTCATTATCATTAGTAGTACAGTATCAACAATTACCTACTGAGACATATCATTTAGTACTATCTCAATATAAATTAAATGGGAATGGAAAGATTACTATTAAAACAAGAACATTTCATACTTTTTATCAAATATACTGATAAAAATTTAATCTTCATAGATGTCCTGTGACATGAATTGTCATGACTTTTGGGGCCATGACCAAGCAGTTAAACTGCAATTTTGAAGAAAACTGTTTATGTCATATTTGAGAAATAATTTCTAGATTAGCTTAACAGTTAATACATTTAAGTCATTATGGTGTAAGAATGGATATCTCGAAATGTGAACATATTTTGATTGGAAACCTAGCCAAGACTTACATAGAATTCATCTACTCTCACATAGATGATTCAGGTCTTGTCAAGTGTCAAGGTATCACTTAAGATCTAAAATTGCACCATTTGACTGGAACAGTATTCCTACCAATAGAAGCAATTGCATTTCCTGAATCTGAGAATTAGAATCTGGCTCTTTTTATGTGTGTATGTGTGTGTTTAGTAAAGCAAATAAAAAATTCTGGGGTGGAAAGAGATTTGAATATCTCAGGTAGAGGGAATGTAGACAGAAGTTCAGCAGATTTTTTTAAAAATCATTTTTACCTTTTACCTGTTACTTTGCTAAGTAGCAGTGTAAGATACAAGTGAAGATTTATGATTTAAAAAACCCCAAAACTTTGAATGGGCTTAATGAAGCATTAATTTATAAACTACCATAATGTATTTTTAGTTGGACTTAATAGAAGAATTTGAGTCTTTTAAATTCATGTAGTATATATATTTTTTTCCAGTCAAATTGTGTACTCTGATCAAACTATCTTAAAATACAATTTTAGGTATTAGTTAAAATTGCTTAGAAATAGTTGTATCTTTGCTGGTATAGGGGAAAAAAAACCATAATGGACTATGGGTAAGATTTTCCCATTCTTAATTAAACTTATAACAGGAAAAACTACCGAAGATCTGTTTCAGCCTCTATCCTATATAAAACAGTCAAAACAGGGATGTGGGAGAATGAAGAATCAAAGCTCAGGTAAGTAATTAGTAGGGCATGAGATTTCACCTTGGGTACCATAGCTTCAGGATGTAAGACAGTGAATGAAATTTAATTTAAACAAACACTGCTTTAATTCATAGTTCACAATCTGAGGTGTCTGTCTTCATTTAGAGTCTGTATCATTGATTATAGACTATTAATGACTTTTAATTGGTCCAACTTGTATATAAATATTCTTTTTCACTCAAATAATGATTCCATTGGCTTAATTTATAAAACTATATCTAAAATACATTTCTTTTCAAGAAATAATAAACTTTTAGAATTTAAAAACTTAAAGTAATTCTTATTGATAAATCTAGGATGTTTTTAAAGATAAATGTTGATAGATGTGAAATAAGGTTGATGTCACAATTATGATGTAGTACATAATTCTGTTTCTTCTTTTGTTTCCTCTCCCTGTCCCCCTTTTTTTTGGCTAGGACCCAATAGGTCAAAGCTACAAGATATGCTTGCTAATTTGAGAGATGTTGATGAACTTCCTTCATTGCAGCCGTCTGTGGGTTCACCTTCCAGACCCAGCAGCTCCAGGCTACCTGAGCATGAAATCAGTAGGGCAGATGAAGGTACGTATTTAAGATACTCTGGAACACAGAAAGTACTAAAACACAAAGCTGTAAACTCAGTTATTACTATAAAGGACTCTCCTGTCATAGAATTTTACTCTGAAAATATTTGATGTACATAAGTATTCTCTAAATGAAGGCTTTCTTGGATTCAGTTAGGTTAATTCCCACTTCATCTTTACAACTTCATAAACTTCCATAAACTTTAAAACTAATTCTTACATTTTGGTTTAGAATACCCTGTAATTCCTGTGCAAATAACATTCAACTGCTGAGAAAATTAAGAACAAAAATAAGTAATAAATGTTTACCTTGAGATTCAACACAAACATTTTATTTAAGCTATTTATTAGTGATAAAAAGTGTGTATGGCTGCAGTTCACCTAACAGTTGAGTCACATCTTCAGCTTCTTGTGTATCTTTGTCAACATGCCTTTTTATATATACTTACATAGATACTTTTTATATGTAAGTATATATGTATTTTTCATATGTAATAATTCAATTTTATAGTTAAAATGATTTTTAAGCCAATAGCTCACACCTGTAATTCCAGCTACTCACGTGGCTGAGATCTGAGCATTGGAGTTTGAAGTCAGCCTGGGCAGGAAAGCCTGTGAGACTCTATCACCAATTAACTACCAAAGAGCCAGAAGTGGAGCTGTGGCTCAAGTGGTAGAGTGCTAACCTTGAACAAAAAAGCTCAAAGACAGTGCTGAGGCCCTGAGTTCAAGCCTCAGAACTAGCACAGAAGAAAATAATAATTTTTTTGTTGAGCCACAGCACCACTTCCAGCTTTTTCTGTGTATGTGGTACTGAGGGTACTACCCAGGGCTTCATGCATGCTAGGTAAGTACTTTACAACTAAGCCACATTCCAGCCAGAAAATAATAACTTTTAAACTTACAACTCTTAATACTAAATATTATCCTTGAGATGAAACCAATCCCTTTTGAATATTGTTATTCAGTAGTTGTTTCCAGCTTTTTATGGTAAGTCTTTTGTTATATAAATATACATATATATAAATACCGTTTTCTCAGAGGTAGTGATATGTAGCTCAGTGGTAGAGCATTTGTCATGTGCAAGGCTTGGATTTACTCTTCATCATCACAGAGAGGGAGAGATCAAGAGGGAAGGGGAAAGAAAGGATGAGAGAGGGAGAGAAAATGAGAATAAGAAAATGAAATAAGTTATATATTTAATTTTGTGACATACTTCTTGGTCTTCTCCACTTGCAGAAAAAAGCCTATGTATGTTCTATAGTTTTATCACTTGATTTTTATTCAGAAGGTAATGTTATATTTAAGAGGTATAGTTACATAACTAGAAATGTGAGCTATAGTCTTAAGTTTGGGGCCTTTAGAGAACAAGATACTCAGAGCATAATGCCCATTCTTGCTCTTCTCTTCAGACATCTGCTGACTATCCATGGGGGTATGAGGATATTGTTGTTACCTTCTTTGTTTTTAGTTTTACTTTGCAATTTCTGGAGCATTGGTTAAAACTAGCCCATACAATGTGTATGGTCAGAAACCTTAGTATTTGTTTAAAGTTGTTTTAGTTCACATTTGACTGTTTGAAATGAAAATAAAATAAACAAACTCTTGTCTTAAGACCTAGCTTCCTACTCTCAAAATAGTAGTTTCTTTGTAAATTTGGCCTGAAAATTACTTTCTAACTTAAACAATTTCTACTGTATATTAATAAATATTTAGAGCTTTTTGTAACCCCGAGATATCACATAGCATTTAGGCAAAACCTATTTTTATTATTGCTGCTGTATTATAAAGTGACTTGGTAATGGTCTTAATTTTTATTCTGTTTTATTCTGACAAGGATTTTTAAGTAGAGTTTCTGTCTCTACTATTAAAAATAATTATTTAATTTAATCAACAAATATTTAATATTAGATATGATTGACTGCAAACCAAGAAAAAATCTTGTTAATCTGTTAATACATTTGACTTGTTTAACTTTGGAGAAAAAAGTTAATTTCTCTTTCTCAGAAGTGTTTGTCATCAATAAAGTAATTACCTCTAGAAACCAACTCCAAGCGCATTTCTGATTGTCAGAATAAATTTTCACTTAGAATTTTAAAGAGTTAAAGTACAGGAAGTGGTGCTGTGGCTCAAGCGGTAGAACTCTCTCCTTGAGCTGAAGAGCGCAGGAACAGCGCCCAAGCCCAGAGTTCAAGCCCCATGATCGACTCCCCCCTGCCCCCCCCAAAAAAGAGTTAAGTATATTAAAGTATATCATAATTTGGCATTTTGCTTTTAACTGATTCTTTTTTTTTTTTGGGTCCAGTCATGGGGCTTGACCTCTGGGCCTGGGCGCTGTCCCTCAGCTCTTCAGCTCAAGGCTAGCGCTCTACCACTTGAGCCACAGCGCCACTTCTGGCTTTTTTCTTTTTGCTTATGTGGTGCTGAGGAATGGAACCCAGGGCCTCATGCCTGCAAGGCAAACGCTCTACCACTGAGCCACCTTCCCAGCCCTTAACTGATTCTTCTATAATAGTTATTGAAAGGATTACATTGTGTATTCTTAGTTAAAAAAACAGAATATTCAAATTTATCACAAAGTAAGGCTATGTCTTGAAGCACTGTTGGAAACCATAGAAGTGTTAAATAGATCTAAAATCTTCAGAGAATTGAGCTACTAATTTAAGTGGAGCACTTGCCTAACTTGTGAGGCTCTTGAGTTCCATCTTAGTATGTGACATCGACACAGACACACATGAAATATACCCTCTGACATAACATTTTAAAATAAAGTATACCCACAAAAAAGTACTGAAATAATAAGGGAACAATTCAATTAATTATAATAAATTCAGAATTATCAGCCATCTGTGCTACTATCCCAGGTTAAGAAGTAGAACATTATCAAGGCCCTAGGAGTTGAGCTTGTATTACCTTTGGATCACTGTCTCCTCCATGCCTCTCAGATGAGACTTGACTTTTTATTTTTGTAAATTTTCTGTGCTCGTTCTGGGGCTTAAACTTGAGGCTTGCGTACCATCCTTGAGTTTTTGTACTCAAGACTAGTGCTCTTGTACTTGAGCCACAGCTCCACTTCTGGCTTTTTGGTGATTAATTGGAGATCAGAGTCTCACAGGCTTCTTTGTCTGGGCTTTGAAAAGCAATCCTCAGATCTCAGCCTCCTGAGTAGCTAGAATTACAGGCATGAGGCACCAGTGCTAGCTGGGCCTGACTTTTTTTTTAAATTTTTTATTGTGAAAATACTGTACAGAGGGGTTACAATTACATGGGCAAGATAGTGGCCTGACTTTTGACACTACAAATTAATTTTGCCTCAAAATAGGCACATCTTAAAATTATAAACATTTTTATTTTAAAATTTCTTTAGTCTTCCAGGTTATAAAATCGATTAATTTTGATTGACTCCAACAGTGTTGAGAATTACTTGTTGGAAATATTAAGTGATTGATAACAGTGATTTGGATAATTAGTATAAAATATCAGATGGGGGAACTTACTTTGTTTTCTGTGTAATGAAAAGGGAAGGCCAGTATTAGATTTGTTTCAAGCTTTACTTTTCTGATTATATGAAATACCTTTAGTTGTGGATAAGATAGGAAAAGAAAATTAACTTCAAGGTTTTTTGTTCATTGAATTTTACATATTTTAAAACATTTTAAATAGTTATATATATATACATTACAAAGACCTTTGATTAAAAAAATGAAACTAGTTGTTGATAATTTTAAAAAGTTCTTTTTTTAATGAAAAAAGTATTTTATTCCTAGGATTTCTAGGTAATTGGCAAAGAAATTTTCTAGTCTGAATAGTAAATTCAGTAAGCCAGTGAGCTCAGCTATCACATTTGGAAAAAGTATCCACATCACCTCCCCTGAAAATGTCATTGTACAATTCTGCTTTAGAACACCATTTTCAGAGAAGCATAATCAATTAAGCATAATCCATTCATTTTTTATAATCCAATTTTAAAAAGTTCTTAATGTTTATCTTCTTCCTTCAGTTGAAGCACTGACATTTCCTCCTTCTTCTGGAAAGTCTTTCATTATGGGAGCAGATGAAGCCCTTGAAAGTGAACTAGGACTTGGAGAATTAGCAGGCCTTACAGTGGCCAATGAAGCAGACTCACTAGCTTACGATGTAAGTGGTAGTTTTGTTTGTTATGTTTTTCCTTAGTTTTTGAAAATAAAAAGTTGGATTTATAGAAAAATATGGTTGTGGTAAAATCTTCACAAGTATAGACCTTGTTTCAGCTTTGATTACACACTTTGCAAAGATGAATAAGAAGATAAATTATTTTAAATAACCTAATGATTAAAATTATAGGTTTTTGCCTGGTTAGTAATGTTTAAAATAACAGATAATTCTCAAAATAGCACCTATTGTTAACACTGCTCATTTTCTTAATGTGTTAGCAATACTTGCCCAAGTTTTTTTAAGCCTAGTATGAGTTTACTTTTTGAATGTGAAGAAATCATATATAGTGCTAATATAAATAAATGCCAGCTACTACTTCAGTTTTCCTGTTATTTGGAATAAAAAAAATAGTACTTTTTTCCCTCAGTTGTTGGGAGTTACTATGAAGATAAAGGACATAATGATGTGTTTCTTTTACCCACATGTATATATCTATCTATCTATCTATTTTTTTTTTTTTTGGTCGGTCATGGGGCTTGAACTCTGGGCTTGGGTGCTATCCCTGTGCTCTTCAGCTCAAGGCGAGTGCTCTACCGCTTGAGCCACAGCACCACTTCTGGTTTTTCTAGTGGTTTATTGGAGATAAGAGTCTCACAGACTTTTCTGCCCAAGCTGGCTTTGAACTGTGATCCTCAGATCTCAGCCTCCTGAGTAGCTAGGATTATAGGCGTGAGCCAATGGCGCCCGGCTCACATGTATATTTTTTACTATCTGATTGTTTCCTCTAACATTTTCTATTTCCAATTTATAAACCTGATTTTTAGTTTGATGAAGAAAATTTAGCCCAAGTTAGAACGTGAAAAAATGACCATGTTTTAAAACGTTAACGTAAATGTAAAGATTACTTAATTTTTCAACTCCTTATCCAAAGTAACATTTTTTCCCCCCTGGGGATGGAGGAAACAAGTAATCAGGATCTTGCACTGGTTAGGCAGATGCTTTACCACCTGAACTATGCTGCAGTCCTTAAAATGATGATTTCTATACCGTAGTTTAGATTGAGTTGCATGGCTTAGGAACCCTCCTAGTTATATTAGTCACTTCCTATCATTGTGACAAAATTCTTGTGATAACTGCTTACAAGGAAGGAACGTTTATTTTGCATCACAGTTTTCAGTCTGGTCAGTTGATTTGTTTCTTGGAGGCTTATGATGGGAGGAAGGGTTAGGCAGCTGGGAAACAAAGAGAAAGAGAAGGACAAAGGGTCCCAATAAATCCATCAAGGGCAAACTCCTCAGTGATCTAACTTTCTTTCCAGTTGGCCCATCTTGTAAGGGTTCTACCACCTCACAGTAGTTCCATAGCCTGGGGACCAAGCCTTCAACAAGTGAATCTTTAGAAGGCATATAAGATCTAAACTAGAATTTGTGAAAGTCTATTTTTCTAATTATTTGATATACTTTTTATATTGAGTCCGTATTTCTTCAGAGAAAACCACTGTTGACATTTGGCTATGGTTTGGTTATTTACATTTAATAATTATATTGATTTGAAAGTTGTACAATGTGATGGTTTAGTAAGAAGACAACAAGAATTAATGTTTAGGGGCTGGGAAGGTTGGTCAGTGGTAGAGTTCTTGCCTTGCATGCATGAGGCCCTGGGTTTGAGTCCTCAGTACCACAGAAGCAGGAAAAGCCAGAAGCGGCACTGTGGCTCAACTGGTAGAGTGCTAGCCTTGAGCAGAAGAGCTGAAGGATAGCACCCAGGCAGGCCTAGAGTTCAGGCCCCACGACTGGCAAAAAAAAAAAAGAATTAATTTTTAAATGTAAGAAGTTTTTCTCCTAGTCTGAATGAACTATATCTTTGTTTTGTTTCATTGATAGATAGCAAACAATAAAGATGCACTGAGGAAGACTTGGAACCCTAAGTTTACATTAAGAAGTCATTTTGATGGCATTCGAGCCCTTGCTTTCCACCCCATTGAGCCTGTTTTGATAACAGCATCAGAAGATCATACACTGAAAATGTGGAATTTGCAGAAAACAGCTCCAGCCAAAAAGTAAGACTATTGTACTTTAACTTTATTTGGTATTTCAGTTAAGTTTCTCAGGAAGAATACATTTAATTACTTGCTGTTCAGTTTCTTCTAGTTCTTTCTTCTTTACCGTGTCATATAATTTAGTTTTTCTTTTCATTAGAGTCTAATGTTATGTTGGAAAAACTGACATATAGGAAAGGAATGTTTTAATCTGATGTTTTCCCCAGAGTTTATGAATGCTGATTTACAGTCCTTTTTCATGCGGTGTTTTTTGATATCTGTCATGTTTGGAGAGCCTCTTGTTTCTATGAAGATTCATACTGTTAGTAAAATAGGCATGTTTAAAATGATCAAATCTTCACCTTCTTCTGCTCTAATGTTCACTAAGTTTGAATGTGCAGAGTGGAGGAGAGAAAGGGCTGATTGGGAGCAGTAATGGACCTGTCTTGGTCTTAACTTTTTAGGCTGCGGTACATTTCATACCAACCAGTATCTCTAAACTGAAAAGTACTACTTAGTTGCTAGTCTTGTCTTGAACCATTGGTTCTAAATATTAATGGGCATGATTTAGTATAAACCTTCTTAGAAGTCCCTGAAGTAGACTTGATTCTACATGATGGAACACTTAGTGGAGCTCTTCTTCTTCCTTGGATCACATTGTTCAAAACTAATATCTGCCATCAAGAACTCTTCTGCAGTCTGAGGAACAAAAGTGTCCTCCATCAAATGGAGGACATTATTGAAATTTTTTCACTGATAAATCTGTTGTCCAGTTTGAAAGAGATCAGTAGTATTTATTCTGTGAGTGATATATAAAGTAGACTAGTATTTTCAGTTGAGAAGATTGTTTTTTCTGTTTATTATACCTTTTACCTTTTTAATTTTTTTAATCGCAATGTGCTAGCTGCAGTTCTAACATTAATAGTAACTATAATAGAACTATTAATAGAACTATATAAGTGTCTCATTTAGAAAAACATTGAAACAAATTTCTTGTTGGAGATAGCTTACTAAAAATACTTTAACATGAAAATAACAGATGTTTAACCTTTGGACTTAAAGCCTGAAAATGACTTGAGGAGAGATGATAAATGCTTCAAAATAACTGCAATACAACGTACTTGACTTTAAATCCAGTTTTCATGATAAGTAGGTAATATAGTTTATCCATAGTAGCCGTAGTAGTATTGTTAGTAATGAGTAAAATACTGACTTTCAGGACAGTTTCTACAGAATCAAGGATAACCTTCATGGAAAGCTAAGGAAATCAAAGTACCATTTGTTGAAATCCTATCCTGCATTTGGTTTTATCCTGGGCTGTTTTTTTTTTTTTCCCCTAATCTTTCTGGGCTGTTTTTTAGGTTGTAGAAATTAATTTAATCAAATGAGTGTTTGGTACTTTCACCATTTTTCTTTTTTGTAAATCTGAACTTTATTCATTTTTTTGCACATATCTTTCCCCAATTCATAGAGTCTTTAAAATCTCTATGTATAAACCATTTTTCTATTTACTTAAAAAAATCTGAAGTTGTCTAAGTCTAAATAGCTTACCTAAATTTAATAATTAATTTAATGGCAGAACTGGAAATTGAAGTCAGAAATGTATCCCTATAAACCCCTTGTTGTTTTTCTGAATAAAGTTGTCTCTCAGCTGGGTGCTGGTGGCTCACTCCTGTAATTCTGGCTACTTAGGAGGCTGAGATCTGAGGATTGCTTTTCAAAGCCAAGCTAGGCAGGAAAGTCTGTGAGACTTTTATCTATAATTAGCCATCAGAATACTGGAAGTGGCACTGTGCCTCAAGTGGTAGATGCTTACCTTGAGCTGAAGAGCCCAGGGATAGCGCCAAAGCCCAGAGTTCAAGCCCCATGACTGAGGTTCCCCCCCCCAAAAAAAAAGTTGTCTCTCCTTTTTTTTTTTTTGGTTGGTTGTGGGGTCTGAACTCTTGCCTGGGCACTGTCCCTTGGCTCTTCAACTCAAGGCTAGCGCTCTACCACTAGAGTCATAACTCCACTTCTGGCCTTTTCTGCTTATGTGGTGCTGAGGAAGACAAGCACTCTACCACTGAGCCACCTTCCCAGCCCCTCCTTTTATTCAGATTGTAACAGTGCTGAAACCATTGTAACAAAATTATTACTACTGCATAAGGAACTTGTTCCATGACACCAGAAAAAGTAAGTGGAGTTAGGTAAGTTTTCTTAAGTATAGTGTAGTTGAGAATTACCAGGATGACTATATTTCTAAAGGCAGTTTTATGATATACATTATTGTATTGCTTATTGTTGAAATTTAGAATTGTTACTTGTCTCCTTTCTTATTTAGGAGTACTTCTCTTGATGTAGAGCCTATCTATACCTTCAGGGCTCACAAGTAAGTATGTGTTTGTTTATTCATTCGTTCATTCATTCATTCATTTTGTCAATCATTGGACTTGAACTCAGAGCCTGAGTGCTGTCCAGAGCTTTTCTGCTCAAAGTAGTTGTACTATCACTTCCAGTTTCCTGGTGGTTAATTGGAGAGGAGAGTTTCATGGAGTTTCCTGCCTGGTCTGGCTTTGAACTGCAATCCTCAAATCTCATTCTCTTAAGTAGTTAGCTAAGATTAGAACACCTGACTTATGTTTTTTATTTTAAACTGGTATCATTGTAAAACAGAATTGTAAACAATTTTTAATAGGATATTTTTATTTCACTTACATATTTTCATTACTTAATTTTAGTATTTAGTTATGGTTTTCTTGTAAATGTAAAAAAATTGACAAGTAATACTGTGCTAAATACAAGTTTATTGCTACTAAATAGGGTCCTTACTGAAAGGTTTTATTTGCATGATGCCTAAATGATATATGTGCACATCTTAAAGTTGAGGCAATTAGGTTTAAATATTAGAAATCTTGGCAATGTTTTTCTCTTAAAGATGATTGACATAAACATATTCAAGAGCTAGGCAGATGGATTTACAAGGAGATTCTAATACCTTTTATATATAGGGTCAGCTGGTAAATACTTTCTGGTTTTGTAGGCTAGATACTTGCAATTAGTTTTGTTTATTTGGTTTTGGTTTCTGTCTTGGGGATAGAACTCTCTAAGTTTTGGTTTAGTATATTCTTTGGTTGTTTCATTTTGTCTTTAAGAATATAAAGAAATATACTTTATTTACCTTTAAGATCCCACAATCCACTGTTAGATAGAGATGGTGTACATTATGTGAAAAATGAACTGTGTAACTTGAAAGTTACACAGAATAGGGATGGGAAGTGACAGATGGAAAAGAACAAAGGAAGGGGTGACATTGACCAAGAAGCATTGTACTTGCAACCTGACTCATCGAATTATAACCTTTTCTACAACTACTTAAAATTAACAAATAAGAAAGAAAGAATTACTGGGTACTGGTGACTCACACCTGTAATCTTAGTTCTAACTCAGGAGGCTAATATCTGAGGATCACAGCTCAACTCATGTAGGAAAGTCTGTCTGTGAGATTCTATCTAACTACTGCCAGAAATGGAGCTCTGGCTCAAGATGTTGGGTTCTAGTCTTGAGCAAAAAAGACAGCATCTAGGTCCTGAGTTCAAGCCCCATGATTGATTTAGCACCCGCATGTGCCTGTGCGTGCGCGCACGCGCGCGCACACACACACACACACACACACACACACACACTTGTAAGAACCATTCTTAGCTTGAGACTGAACAGAAACAGATTACTGGTAGAATTTTGCCTACAGCCATGATTTTATAACCTCTGGTTTGAACACTAATTTGACAGTATTTTTATTAATTGTTTTAGGCAGAAAAATAGAAAGTCATTTGAGTAATTAAGCATTTGTGTCTTTGACAAACCATTAAAGGACTTATTTTTGAAAACAGCAGTTTACTTACTTACCCTAATTTATTTAACTTCGCAGAGGCCCAGTGCTTTGTGTGGTAATGAGCAGCAATGGTGAGCAATGCTACAGTGGTGGTACTGACGGACTGATCCAGAGCTGGAATACCACCAATCCTAACATTGATCCCTATGATTCCTACGGTATGTCATTCCCAATGTTTTAAAAGAAGAGTGTTTGGTCTGCCGTATTTTCCCACAGTGGCTTTAAGGATAACATTAGGTATTTTTTTCTTTTGTTTTTTTTTTATTTTGAAAATACTGTATAGAGGGGTTACAATTACATGAGCAAGGTTATGAGTACATTTATAATCAAGCATTGTAGCCTCCTCCTTTGTTTCCCCTTCCCATCCCTTCCCATCTTCCCCCGCCCCCCCCCCAAAATTAGGTATTTTTGAAAATAAGAGAAGCGTATCTTCCTTTGTTTGGTTAGGAAATAATTTGGTATATATTATGCAAAAGAAAAAACAAGTTCTTACTGAGAAAACAGTTCATATTTCCCCATATTCAGCTTGAGTAACTATTGTTTTCTTCAGTTTAGGCATCTATATGGTACTTGAAGCATTTCTAACCTATAATCATTTCATCATTGTTCTTACAAACAACTTTGAAGGAAAATGAATGTTATCATTATCATTAGAGGATAATGATATTGGAGGGATATAGACACTTAGGGTGTTTTAAGTATATGCCACCAAAATATTTAAAAAGGCTACAAGATTAAGAAGTATCCTTTAAATCTTTGAAACAGTATCCTGGGCATAAATCTATACTATATTTATCACTCAATAGTAACATAAGTTCTCTTTCAAAATTTGTATAGGAATGGATAGATTTGGTTTTCATTTAAGTTGTACAGAGGTTTAAAATGTCATAAAGCTGTTTTGCTGAATCTTTTACAAGAACATCTGATTTTTAAAATAAACCATTTATAATATGGAATCATTTAAAAGCTGTATAATGTTTTAAAGTGTTATTTGTCATAAAACTGTATTTACTATCTACTATTTAATTTCCTTGGATTTTTTTTGTGGGGGGTCACTCATGGGGCTTGAACTCTGGCCCTGGGTGCTATCCCTAAGCTCTTCAGCTCAAGGTGAGTGCTCTACCACTTGAGCCACAGTGCCATTTCCTACTATTTAATTTAAATTTACTATTTAAATTTTACTATTTTTTGAGTTTTGCCACCAATTCTAAGTAAACATAAATTTAGTAAACAAAAATTTAACACTTAATAAGCATTAAAATAGATCATTTTCTCTAAGAAAGAATGTACTTTTAAGTTTTAATTAAAGTTGAATTCCACAATTGTATATCTCCAAGCCTGTTTTTAATTACTACAACATTTAAAAGAAACTAGGAAAAGTATTTCACCCTATTATCAGAAGCTTTTATTTTACTTCTGTGGAACCTGTAACAATAACTTCATGATAATTTTCTCCTGGTTTTGTACTCTTTTTTACATAGATCCTTCTGTATTGCGAGGCCCTCTGCTAGGTCACACAGATGCAGTCTGGGGTTTGGCATACAGTGCGGCACATCAGCGTTTGTTGTCCTGTTCAGCAGATGGCACTCTTCGTTTATGGAATACAATGGAGGTTGCTCCAGCTCTGAGTGTATTTAGTGATAATCAAGGTACATACCTTAGATTATTTTGCTGAATCTTTTGTAAAAACATCATATTTTTGAGAAGGAACAAGCAAGCAAATAAATAATTCTGTAAACTCTATTTAAATCTAAACTCTTTTTAAATCTAAAGTTATTTTTAAGCAATTTTTCAAGCAAATTTTTAAACTTATTTGTAATTCTTAAAAGCATAGTATTTGGTGAGAAAACATTTCAAATTTTAAAAATTGGGAAATAATTTATACTGTAGTAAAAAATACAGATCTTCAGTGCCTAATAAACTAATTCATTGCTATAAATCACACACAGATCAATACCTAGAATATTTCTTTCACCTCTCCAGAGCTCTGTCTGTTCACAATAGGTTATTACCATTGTGATTTTTTCATCATTAGATTAGTTTTGTTAGCCCTTAAACTTCATAAAATGCAATAATAAAGTTTGTACTCTTTTGTACCTGGCTTTTGACTCACTATAATCTTTTTGCAATTCATTGTCAGTTTGTTTCTACTATTTTAAGACTATTTCATGAAGCTATTGATAGTCTATTCATTTACTTCTTTTTCATAGTGTCTATTAATTGTACAGAATGAGAGGTTTCCCTGTGACATTTCCATACATACAATGTACTTTAATAATGGTCGCACTATTATTCTTTATTATTCCTCTTCTCCCCCAGTTTTGCTTTTGTTTTTTTTTGGGGGGGGGCATGGGGCTTGAACTCTGGTCTGGGTTTTGTCCCTGAGCTCTTCAGCTCAAGGCTAGCACTCTGCCACTTAAGCCACAGTGCCACTTCCAGTTTTCTGGTCGTTAATTGGAGATAAGAGTCTCATGGACTTTACTGCCTGGCTCAGATCTCAGCCTCCTTAGTAGCTAGGATTACGAGCATGAGCCACCAGTGCCTGCCCCCCCCTCCCAATTTTTAAAAGTTTTTCTTAAAATTTTTTAAGTGATACTTGGGTGTGAACTTACACATTCATTATTGTTAGACTGGTCTTCCACCACTTCAGTACTTGCTGATTTTTTAATATGGGTTTATTATTATTATTTATTAATATTGTTGTTGGTCATAGGGCTTGAACTCAGGGACTGGGCACTGTCCCTGAGTTCTTTTTGCTCAAGGCTAGTGCTCTACCACTTTGAACCCACAGCTCTATTTCCAGTTTTCTGATGATTAATTGGCGATAAAGAGTCCTATAGACTTTCCTGCCTGGGCTGACTATGAATGACAGGCTTTGAACTGCAAACCTTAGATCTTAGCCTCATGAGTCACTAAGATTGTAGGTATGAGCCACCAGTGCCTGGCTTATTATCTTTTTATTATGATCTTTACATACACATACACACATACACATACTCTCACACATACACACACAGAGTACTTGTCATACTTTTCTTACCACTTGATGAACACTGAGTTGGTCTGAGTTGTTCCAATTTTTGGTTTTAGGAGCAGAGCTTCTGTGAATATTCATAATATTTTCAATTCATATGTTTTAATTTTATATTCATAATTTGCCTATTCACTCACCTTTTGATAGATATGTTGGTTATTCCAGTTTGAGGCTTTTGTGAACAAAGCTATTATGAATATTCATATATTTTCCTTGTGGGTGGATGTAGAAATCCAGAGGTAGAATTGTTGGACTTTAAATCAGGTTTCTTTTCTTTTTTTACTTTATGCAAAACACCACCATTTATTCCAACATGCTTATGACTTCTTATACCACTTTAATTTGCTCTATATCCTTATCAACACTTTAGGTATTAATCTATATAATTTTAGCCATTTTGGTATATATTAGAATTTCTGATTAGTTTCAGTATTTGTTTTTCTTAATGTCTAATTATGTTGAGCACTTTTTATTTACTAGCTACATATGGTTCTTTTTTTTTTTACTTTTTAAAAATTATCTTTAAGTAGTTGTACAAAGAAGTTCCCATTCTACAAAACAGTATATGAGTACAAAGTGTCTGACAACATTGTCACCCATCTCTCTTAACCCATCCCTTCTCACTTTTTTTCTTTAATTGAGATTAGGTGATTACATAAATTTCACATATTTCACAGTATTGTGTAATAGTGATACTTAGAGTCACAAACACATTTTAACGTTCATAAGGCACATTGTCATTATCATGGTCTATATAGTGTGTGATTTCTTTGAGCTTTGACAATACAAGTTATTTTTTCCACATCAGGTGATGTTCACATTACTTTCCTTTTGCTTAGTGTAGGCTGTTCCCACTTACTCTGTTCCTCCTCCTGGCTTCCCTATGTTGCATGTATGTATCTACCATATATATGGTCTAGAACATGGAGTCATGACAAAATGGGTGGCTGTCCTTTGTTTCTTGAGTCCTGTTAACTTTGTCATATCTTCTTGTATTTTGACTTTAGCATCCACATATCAGGGAGACCAGGTGCCATTTGTCTCTTTTTCTTGGCTTACTTCACTCAAAATAATCTGCTCTAATTTCATCTATTTCCCTGTAAATGCCATTATTTTGTCCTTTCTAATGCCTGCATGATATTCCATTGTATATAGGTACCACAATTTTTGGATCCACTCATCAGTAGTGGGACATCTGGGTTGTTTCCAAATCTTGGCTATTGTGAACAATGCTGCAATAAACATGGAGGTACCTGTGTCTTTGTATGCTGGTTCTTGTTGCTCAGGGTAGATGCCTAGGAGTGGTATGGCTGGGTCATAGGGGAGGTCTATATTTAGCTTTCTGAGGCATCTCCAGACTGTTTTCCAAAGTGATTGTATTAGTGTACATTCCCACCAGCAGTGCAGTAGAGTTCCTCTTTCTACATATCCCCTCCAGCATGTGTTGTTGGCTGACTTTAGGATGTGGGCCATTCTGACTGGGGTAAGGTGTATCTCAGTGTTGTTTTTATTTACATTTCCTTTACAGCCAGGGATGATGAACATTTCTTCATGTGCTTCTTTGCCATTTTTATCTCTTCTTCTGAGAAGTCTCCCTTTAGTTCCCTTGCCCATTTCATGAAATGGTTTGTTAGATTTGTGAGGGGTTCGTTTCTTGAGTTCCCTGTATATAATAGGTATTAGACCCTTGTCTGATATTTTGCTGGTAAATATTTTTTTCCCTATTAGTTGGCTTCCTTTCTAGTTTGGTTGCTATTTCTTTGTCTGTGCAGAAACTTTTTATTGTAAGGTAGTCCCATTTGTCCAGTCTCTCTCCAATTCGTTGTGACCCTGGGACTCTGTTTAGGAAGTTCCTGCCTGTGCCTATAAGTTCAAGCGTCTCTCCTACTCTGTCCTGCTGTAGTTTCAGAGTATCTGGTTTGATGTTAAGGTCTTTAATCCATTTTGAGTTGATGTTAGTGCGTGGTGATAGGCTAGGGTCCACTTTCATTTTTCTGCATGTGGCTACCCAGTTTACCCAGCACCAATAGTTGAAGAGGTTATGATTCTTCCACTGTATGTCTTTGGCTCTTTTGTCAAATATCGACTGACTGTACATATGTGGCTTTATTTCTGGGTCCTCTAGTCTATTCCATTGGTCTTTGGGTCTCTTTTTGTACCAGTACCAAGCTGTCTTTGTTATTATGGCTGTATATAGAGCTTGAAATTCGGTATCGTGATCCCTCCTGTGTTGTTTCTTTTGCCTAGAACTGCTTTGGCTATTCTAGGTCTTTTGTTGTTCCATATGAATTTTTGAACTGTTTTCTCTATTTCAGTAAAGTATGTCATTGGGATTTTAATAGGAATTGCATTGAATGTGTATATCAATTTTGGCAATATAGCTATTTTCACTATGTTAATTCTGCCTATTCAGGAACATGGGAGATATTTCCATTTCCTGGTATCCTCTATGATTCCTTTTTTTTTTTTAAAGGCTTTTATAGTTTTCATGAAATAGATCCTCTACATTTTTGGATAGGTTAATTCCTAGATACTTTCTTTTTTTGAGGTTATTGTGGATAAGGTTGTTTCCTTGATTTCCCTTTCTGCTTGTACATTGTTGGTGTACAGAAAGGTGACTGATTTTTGTGGGTTAGTTTTGTATCCTGCTACTTTGCCGAAGTGGTTTATAAGCTCTTAAGTGTTTGGGGATGGAGCCTTTGGGATCATTAAGGTATAAAATCATGTCATCTGCAAAAAGAGATAGTTTAACTTCTTCCTCCTCTATGCAGATCCCTTTAATGTCTTTTTTCCTGCCTTATTGCTCTGGCTAAGGATTCCAGAACTATATTGAATAGGAGTGGAGAGAGTGGGCATCCTTGCCTTCTTCCTGTTTTTAGGGGAATTGATGGTAGTTTTTCCCCATTAAGTATGATATTGGCTGTTGGTCTGTCATTGCATATAGTTCTTTTTTTTTTTTTTTGGTCCGATCCTGGGGCCTGAACTCTGGGCCTGGACACTGTCCCTCAGCTCTTCAGCTCAAGGCTAGCGCTCTACCACTTGAGCCACAGTGCCACTTCTGGTTTTTTTCTTTTTTGCTTATGTGGTACTGAGGAATTGAACCCAGGGCCTCATGCATGCAAGGCAAGCGCTCTACCACTGAGCCACCTTCCCAGCCCTGCATATAGTTCTTTGATACATACATTTCTGAACTGTTAGCTTGCTTTAGATACTGAAAAAATTATTTATTTTATATTTATCTTCTACTTCTAGTACCAATAAGTTCTAAGCCTAGTTTCTGGAGAAGAAATAAATCCTTCTTTTAATCTTTGAACTATCACAACTTGCCTGTAGACTTTGATGAATTGCCTGCATCATTGGAAAGTACTCTTGTTATTGAACCACATGCCCAGATTTTGTAATTTTTTTTCTAGATGGATGCTCTATCACTGAGCCATACCTCTAGCCCTTTTTTGCAATGGTTATGCATAAAATAAATTCTCACATCTTGCTCAGGCAAGTGCCAGGATTGTGCTGCACATATTCATGCTTCTCATGTAGCTATGTCAATACGTATATGTCTTGTGCCCAGCTACTAGTTGAGAAGAACTCTTACTAAATGTTTTGTCTAGGCTTGCCTCAAACTGCAATTTTCTGTCTCACTATCCCAAGTATCTAGAATTATAGGTAGGAGCCACCAGCACCTGGCTGAGTGGGAAGTTTTTTTAATGAAGAATTTCTACTATTTCAGTCGATAAGCTCAAGTTTGAAGTGGAAACATACATACTTAGACTGTACATAGTTTCTCTTTCTAAATAAATATGTGCATTCCCTTAGTATATTAACAGAATTAATAGGTAAAAGATATACTATAATATACCCATTATTATTATGTAAGGATAAAAAATAGACTAAGGAAGTCAGGCACCAATGACTCACGGCTGTGATCCTAGCTATAGTGGCTCATGCCTACTATATTATTTACTCAGGAGGTTGAGATCTGAGCATCAAGGTTCAGAGCCAACCTGGGCAGACAAATCCCAGAGACTTATCTCTTATAACCAACAAAAAGCTGGAAGTTGAGGCATGGATGAAATAATAGAGGATCAGTTTTTAGTAAAAGAGTCGGTGAGAGTGTGAGGCCCTGAGTCAAGCCTTAGTACCAGCATACACATACACACAAAAGTAGACTAAAGGCTGGGGCATGGCTCAAGTGGTAGAGCACTTGCCTAGAATGAGGGAAACCCTGTGTCTAATCCCTAGAAGCGCGCATGCGCGCGCGCGCACACACACACACACACACACACACAATAAAACTAAAATAGACTAAAAGTTACAAAGAAATCATCTTCATTGAATAATGACCAGCTAATTCTTACTCTAATGATAAGCCTTACCTACTTACTAAGGAAATGCTGCCACTATTGGTTTTATGATATTTTGAGCGCATCATCAAATAAACTTTACTTCCCATTGTCTTTCAATATGTTCTGATGTTTTTAGAATTGGGAATCCCTGCCTCTGTGGATCTTGTGAGCAGTGATCCGAGCCATATGGTTGCATCATTCAGCAAAGGATATACGAGCATCTTTAACATGGAAACACAACAACGAATTCTCACTTTAGAATCCAATGTAGATTCAAGTATGTATACCAATAAGTAGCCTGTGTTCTGATCAGTTTATTAACTTAATCAAAATTATTACTGCTAGAATCAACTATGAAAAGTACTGACATTATAAAGTATTCTACCTTAAACCTCAAAATACATTCACTTAGAAGGATATTATAATGATTTACAATTGAGTTTTTTGAGAGTTAAAAAAGCATTTTTTAAACATTTATAACATACTATTATACTCTTTTATGTCTCTATTATTCCTCCTATAATTAAACTTAGTTTGATACCAAATGACTGATTTTCAATTCTATTGAAAGGAAAATTTTTGTTTAAAAATAAAAAGTATTCTTTTTTCATAATTACATTTTTAATCAATTTTGTATTAATAGTACCACCAGTTACAGTTCAGTACTGATTAGGATGTAGGCCATATTATAGCTCTCAGAATCCCAAATCTGAAACTTCTTTTTGGTTACATAAGTCAGAAAACAAATGCTTTCTATGTTATAAGGAAGACATTAGAGAATCTTCTTAGTTTTGGTTTTTAAAAATGATTGTTCTCTATCTTTAGCTATAATCCACACAAGCACAGTTTAGTTGCTATAGATAAAGAAAATTGAATGCATATATACTGTTACAGTCATCCCTCACTATATTTCAGTTTGCTTATTACAGCATCACTGTATCATGGGGTTTGTTTTTTGTTTGTTTTTAAATACGTAAGTAGTGATCCCTTACCTGTCATGGTAATTATGTTCCAAAGACCCCTGCAATGGGTGAAAATCTGAGAAGTAGCAATAAATGAATTGCGATATAGCAAGGGTAACGCTGCTGCTTTGCAGATTTTCACCTATCTCAGGGGTCTCTGGAACATAACTCCCATGATTGGTGAGGGATTACTATTTTAATCTGGGAACTAGCTGTAAAAGTAATTACATGGGTATATGTGAGGATGTACATTTACTTGTCTTTCTTTCTCCTCACTTTCCCTCTTAAAAATTTCACTTTTTTCCATTTTCTCTACATAGTCTTTGTTTTCTTCTGATATGCTATAGAACGTACTTAGAGAAGTAAAAATGAACAGAACTTTGAGATGTTCATAATTAAAAGATAAAGGAAGTGGCGCTGTAGCTCAAGTGGTAGAGCGCTCGCCTTGAGCTGAAGAGCTGAGGGACAATGCCCCGGCCCAGAGTTCAAGCCCCACGACCGACAAAAAAAAAAAAAACAAAACAAAACATAATTAAAAGATAAAGACAGGAAAATAAAAATTGAAATTATGACATTGAAAAATATTTTTTTCAAGTAATTGATTTTTAGACTCAAATAATTTTAAAAATTGAAATAAATTTAAAATGACATTTAAATATATGATCTGACAGAGTAGTAAAATTTGAAAAGCCAGCATTAAAACAAGAAGAGCGGGCTGGGAAGGTGGCTCAGTGGTAGAGCACTTGCCTTGCATGCATGAGACCCTGGGTTCGATTCCTCAGCACCACATAAGCAAAAAGAAAAAAGCCGGAAGTAGTACCTTGAGCTGAAGAGCTGAGGGACAGCGCCCAGGCCCAGAGTTCAGGCCCCACGACCAGACCCAAAAATAAATAACTAAATAAAATAAAATAAGGAGAGCATAAGCAACTTTAGAATTACCTTCAGAGCTTTAGCCAATTTCTGTAATTTCCTAAGTGGCAAGTGTTGACTTTTCATGACTAAGTCGCTCTAGTCTATTGAATAAGATAGATAAACTGAACTAGGTTATCCCATCTATTTTTCTCTATGAGCTGTAATTATAAAGTAATAAAGATATTTTGCCTGTTACTGGAAATGTTTTTAGGCAAGACTACTAGAAATGCTTTTAACAGAGGCAGTATTAGAATAAGTGATAATTATTTTTACTTACAATAACATATTCTGACATTTCTAGGTTATCTGTATTAGTATTTTTTATCACTATATAAAGAAGATTTATTCATTGTATTGTGGGATATCCCTTTGCTGTTTAATATTTGATTATGTTTTTCTACTTTGAAGTTCAGTAGTTTTGTTTTTTTCTTTTTGGTAATTAAAGTGGACACTGGTGGCTCATGTCTGTAATCCTAGCTATTCAGGAGGCTGAGACCTGAGGATCAAGGTTCGAAACCAGCTCAGAAAGAAAAGTTCTTGTGAACTGCCAAAAAATTGGAAATGGAGCTGCGGTTCAAGTGGTAGAATGCTGGTCTTGAGCAAAAAAGTTCAGGGATAGTTTGCAGGCTCTGAGTTCATGCCCCAGGACCAGCACACACAAAATATTTTCCAAACCAAATGTGTTTCAGCGTCAAAGTGCATTCCACATACAGTTTACAGTGAGGAAAGATGTTTGTTGTTAGAATAAATTATATTTCTTCTCATTGATGTCAGTGGCGATTGGACTGCAATAAAGTCACAGGTAATTTAAACAGGTAATTGGGTACTTGTGGGAGAAAAAGTTTCTAAGTCACAAGTTGAATTATTTTTGATTCCCTAGTTTTGCATGTGTGTGGGGGTGGGAGTAGGGGTCCTGGGGCTTGAACTCAGGGCCTGGGCACTGTCCCTGTGCTTTTTAGCTCAAGGCTATACTTTTTTAGTTCAAGGCTCATGCTGTACCACTTGAGCACAACTCCATTTCCAGTTCTTTGGTAGCTAATTGGAGCTCACTAATTAGTGACTTAGGAAATTTAATAATTCAGTAATATTTAAATTGTGCTATTTGTTTCATTCAGATAGATAGATGGATAGATGTTGTTGGTATTAGGACTTGAATTCAGGGCCTGGCACTCCTTTTGGCTTTCTTGCCTACATCTGGTGCACAACCACTTGAGCTACCCCTCCAGTCTGATTTTTTACTGGATAGAGTCTTGTGGACTTTCTCCTCAAATTGTCTTCAAACGGATTCTCCAGGGCTTACTTTCCTGAGTAGCTAGGATTACAGGCATGAGCCACTAGTGCCAGTGCAATCATATATTTTATGACATCTCTTCCTCTTTCAAAAATCATAGGAGTTTTAACTGTCATATCTCGTTAGTGTTAAATTTATGTCGATTTTTACTTAAAAAGTATCTTAATGAAAGTCATCCACTAAGCCAGTTTCTCCTAATTACCTACTCTTTTTTTGGGGAAAGGCTTTCATAAGAACTAGTAATAGTTTAGGAACTAGTTTTAGCAGTTACCTCATCTCCTCTGCATGGAGTTTTGTCACCTGATGTAGGGGAAGTCATAGCTCTTCCTTGGTACTTACTGTGATATGGGTTTAGTGGTAGTCTATCTCATTGTATATTTGAATGAAATCTCTGAAAACTCTTAAATAATTCACAAAAAACCAAGGATACCATTTTAAAATTCTAAGCCCAACAGACTGTCATATGATAACTATTTCTATTATGATGAGGAATAATTAACAAGTATGTGACAAAGGTCTATATATAAAGAGGTACATTTCAATTTAAGGATTGTTCTGGGAATGTAGCTTAGCAGCAGAATGCTTGCCTAGCATGCACAAAACTCTGGGTTCAGTTCTTCAGCACCACATAAACAGAAAAAGCCGAAAGTGGTATTGTGGCTCAAGTGCTAGCCTTGAGGGAAAAAAAAAAAAGCCTAGGGACAGTGCTCAGGCTCTGAGTTCAAGCTCCAGGACTGTCAAAAAAAATAATAATAAACTTAAGGATTATCAACATATAAATGATGATGCAATTTTATTGTTAGCAAAAGTACCACACATAGAACATTGTAGAATGAGATGTTAGTGTTTATGTTAAATGGTAGGTAGTGCTCATAAGATGACAGGTAGTAAAACAGGAAATTTCTAATTTTTAGGTACTTCTAGATATGTTAGCCTGGTAAAACTCAGGCAGTTTGAATTCCTGCTCTTGAAGTTATAGAAATAAGGAGAATAAATGAATAAACAGCAAAATAAAGCCATACTGTTGGCTTTTCAAACTCTGTGAGTATTTCTTTCTTCTTTATGTAAAAATAAACACTTGGACTAATTTGTATTACTCTTTAATTTTTCCATTTTAGCATCCAGCTCTTCCTGCCAAATAAACAGAGTCATCAGTCATCCCACTCTTCCTATCAGCATTACTGCTCATGAAGACAGGCACATCAAATTCTTCGATAACAATACAGGTAGGAATTTATTAAGAAATGATATTTGCTAAAGTATTCTCTACGAAACATAAGCTAATTGTGGTGTCAGGAAATAGGTGCTGAAGCACAAATACTTTCCTGGCTCAGTTTCTGTTCATTCCATTCACATCTGGTAAGATTAGTCTTCATTATACAATATAGAAATATTTTTGCTTAATACTTATTAAACTACATATTTAGGCCGTAGTGCCAAGTTTATCACTAGGGACATAATGAGAAATTAATTCATTTACCAATGAATGTGATCTTTTGCTATGATCTATTATAGTATATAAGGGAAAAGTAGAAACTTGTTGGAAATAGAGGCATATAAATAGCCTTACTTAATATTCAGTTATTCAGTTATAAAATAGCTATATTCAGCATTGAAGATGGTTTGTTTCACTCATTTCTCATCTGATTAATTTGAATTGGGCCATGGGGCTTTCCCAATTTTTCTTGGACCACATTTCACCAATGTAATGAAAATGTATGACTGTGCTGAGAGGAAAACACGCTTTTAGCAGCCATATTTCCAGGACTCTGCTACTGCCCTTGTTGACATGGAATGGTAACTTGCTAGTAATTTGATGTTTTAAATACTTTTCTATATGTTGTTTCCATGAAAATTATAGCCATATTTTCTTTTTAAATTTTTTTTATTTTTTAATTGTCAAAGTGATACACAGAGGGGTTACATAAGTAACATAAGTAAGGTAGTGTGTACATTTCTTGTTGAAGTTGTTACCCCCTCCCTCATTTTTCTCCCTCTTTCCATCTCCCTCAATCCCCTCCTCAGTTGTACAGATTATTTCCAACATATTTTCTTGTGAGTATCACTGTTGCTTTGGTTCACTCTTTGTCTTACCATTTTGTTGTTTCCCTTCCCTTCCCTAATTCAGATAAATGTATATACAATACCCAGGGTACCAAAATCAAATACAGTAACATCAGGGGATAAACCATAGGGGAAAAATACAAAAGAAACAAGAAATCACATACATTGAGAACAGCAACAACAAAGAAAAACCTCTTGTGTCCATGTCTTGGAGTTCATTTTGCTTAGCATCATCTTATATGGTCATATGTACATAGCTTTGAGCTGTTCTGCTCATCTTAGAGCCATATTTTCTTTCTGCTCCTTTGTCATTCTTTCTTAGTCTTCTTTCTGTGAATGTGAACTCTGTTCCTATAAACCAACAAATTTTTAGTTAAGGATACAAAGTAGAAGCTTAATCTCTTAAGTTCTAATTAATGCACATTACTGAGTTCTACATTAGAGTTTAAAAGACAAGTATAATCTGAAATTTGAATTTTCCCTCTCGTTATTACTGTGACTGGAGGCAAGAAGGGGAGGTGCATTGTTTTAACTGTTAAAAAAAGTTTTTGATACAGGAAGTACACAGGAGAAATCAGTATAACATGGTTTAGTCAGTATGTGTTCAGGATAAGAGAATCATCAGTAAAGTAACCATCTTCTTTTTCCAAAGGCAAACTGATCCACTCAATGGTAGCCCACCTAGAAGCTGTCACAAGTTTAGCAGTTGATCCTAATGGCCTGTACTTGATGTCTGGCAGTAAGTACATCAATTGTAGGTTATTTGTCCTTTTTATTTTCATGATAATGTAATTGTTCCTTTCAACTTCCTTTCTTTTGGTATAGGTCATGACTGTTCAATACGTTTATGGAATCTTGAAAGTAAGACATGTATCCAAGAATTCACAGCTCACCGGAAAAAATTTGAAGAATCAATTCATGATGTAGCTTTCCACCCTTCAAAATGCTATATAGCCAGTGCTGGAGCTGATGCACTGGCTAAAGTCTTTGTATGACAAAATGCTTCATCTTCACTTCTAGCTCTTTATAAATAATCAACTGCACAAAAGAGATATGGAAGACCAGGGCAAGAATCTACTCATGCTGCCCAATTGTTCTGCTGAAGGAGCACAGAGAACATTTGTTAAAGTATAGTTTTGCAATTCATAATACTGTTTGCTAAAGTTAAGGTTTGTTTAGGTTGCTGCAAGCTCAGCTGAATTTGTAAGCCTGAAAACAGTTTCAGATTTTCCCCCCAAAAAGGCGCTTTATTTCTCAAATTGTCTTAATTCACTAGGCAAGACTGAGCGAACACAGGTGTAGCTTGTCTTATCCCTCTTTGATAAATAAGACGTGATGTAGTAGTTAATTAAAAGCTGAATGGCTGGGAATGAGTAGAGGACAAGTAAAAAGTTATATTTAATTCCCCCTTGTGAAATCCTGTAAAACAAATTAGGTAGTCAAACTGTCACCTTTACTATATCTGCTGTACTAATCCCATTGTGTACAATGACCAGACAGTGTTGAAATGAGTTTTTAATTTAGCTTTCCTCGCAGCTATTTGCATAAAGCATGTACAAGGCATTTTACCTTTTATGAGGAAAAGATGCTCAATGTATTATTCAGCCATGCTAAACAAATACTTAGTTTGCAAGCAGATTTCTGTGTTGTATTATAGTTTTGACAATATACTTGGTACCCTAAAATTCAACTGCCAGGCATCACCATTATGAAGAATAGTTAATGAACCTGCCTTTACTACAGGATTTAACTTACTTGGATTTGAAATTCTGTTCTAAGGGCAAACAAGGAATATCTCTAATAATTCTAGTTTTAAAAAATTCTTATTTACGTGATAGTTATAACACCAGAATTATTATTTCATACTGATGAAAATTAAGTGACTGGAGAAAAGGAAATTATTTACTAGTACTCATTTGTCAAAACCCACATACCCATGCTTCAGATGATCTCTGCTCTTTATTTTACATTTGTGTTATCTTGACAGCTACAAAAAGAATTTGTAATTGTTTTGTGTTTTAATAGTCCAGAGAGTATGGCTCAGGCAATTTTTTTTTTAAAGCAGAACTAACTAAAGCAAATGTTTGGTACTTTAGAAGCTCACTATTAGTATTTCTAAGATTAACCTCCTGGAAATCTAGATGGATGAGTTTAATGCCTTATCATTGGCTAAAAGGTCTTCTCTCCTTCACCTTTCCTTATTGTTCAGTTGGAATATGTGTTTGAATGGGTAGTGAATCAGTTTTGTTTTTAGAGAAGACCATGTGTTGAAAGGCCAGGTTTTACTTTATTTGGTATCCACATGTAGTCAGCTTCAGGGATTCTCATGATTCTGCTGTCTAGAACTACAATTATTATGACCCCTCTTTATGTTCTTCCCTTCAAATACAAAAGATCAATATAAGCATTAAAATATTAATGTCCAACTTTTGCCAAAATGTATATACCATAGGCTTCCAGTCTTTTAAGAGCTTATAACCATAAATATTTTAACTCCTTAAATAAGTCCTACATTTCTATCCCCATATATTCCATTGTCATAGCACTGATACTTCCGATACTAAGTACTTCTTTGAAGTGTAGTGTTCTCCTGATTTTGCAGATATTAATTGATAATACATTTTTTTTCAATTTCTGCTGTCTGCCTCTAGAATTCTGTAGTACAAGGATATCTTTTTTTTTTTGCTAAAGCTGTAAGATCTGTGCTAAACTTATGCATATGTAATAGAAACATGCTCTAGTATTTTGACACACTGCTTTTTAAACTTTGTGCTTCGGTTAACAAGCTGGCGTAAGGAACTTCTTTGTGTAGTCAAGTGAATTCACCTAAGCATAAGTTACCAGGTGACTGTTTATGTTTATATGCAGATATACAATCTCACATTTAATTTGTAAATTCCTTTCAGTTCTTCACAAAGTAAACAGTGAATTGCTAACCTAACATTTGTAGAACACTGGTAAATTCCAGTCAGATACCCTTACATGGTATATTTACGAAGAATAACCACAAAGCTATTATTCTACTCCTTGTTGCTTTAATTTCCTTCCAAGGTCTTCATTGCTTGCTTATGTCATTGAAATTCTGAAAACCTCATATTTTATTCTTTTCTCATTTCATGCCTCTTGTGCAAGCTGTAGTGCAAATGATGTAATGTTGAAGGTTTCTTAGGAAGCCAATACTATGCCATTGGAGACTATAGAGAAAGATTTTTCTACATTAACACTGTATCATCTCAGCCTAGAAATGAGCCAGAGCTGTCTTCCAACTAGGTGATAGCATATACAGGAGTCTTAACTTTTCTCCTGAACCTCTGGAAATTTATAAAATGAGCAAATTCAAGATGCAGTCATTGCAGTTTTTTCACAATGCTTGACTTATAAATAGTTTGGAGGAAATGTATTGGAATAATATGAAAATCAGCTGGTGGTATGGGTCCCTGCCTTACTTTCAAATGTTATGGATATATCTCTTGGAGCTTGCAGTACCCTTTTCAAAACTCAGCTGTCATATGGATCTCATTTGCTACTCACATGTAGACAAATATTTAACATAATTAATATAATGACCTTCAGTATTTTTCTATTGAACAAGTTTAGCAATTTTTGCCATTAAGTAAATAGTATGCAAAGTATTTAGCTTTTATAATCATTTTAGTTATGACTAAAAGGGGGAAATTGAGCTGTAACACTGATAATGAACTTTGTGAGAAATTTTTGTTATCTGACTTTCATTCCTTCAGTATTCTTGCTATAAATTTTTTTTGGAGATAATGATGAAGATTTATTTGAAAATGTCTAAAATGTATGTATATTTTATACATATATATTATATATATTAGAGGAATATATATAATATATATAGACTATATATATATATCTAAACCATAGGTGCATTTTACTGTTTTGTATTTTCATTTTGGAGATAGTGTACACAGCAGATAATGATGAGTATGACAAGTGTTGTGCTGTTTGCTTTTGCAGTATAATATATAGTTCTAAATGTTTAAATTACTGTATATACTATATTCATTATAGGCTAGCATGCTTGTTTTAAAGATTGTCATTATAGTTTATTAAAATCTGAATGTAAGAAAACCTGGCTATTCAAATGTGAATTGAAAAATATTCCATTCTCAGTACTGAACTATCCATTGAGCATTCAGGCTTTGTAACAAAATATAAATCATCTGGAAGGCAATAGCTAGAAAATGAGAGGTGCCTTTTAAAAACAAAACAAAACAAATGCAGCCTTACAGTGAGAATGAAAATTGAATTTGTGAAGGTGGTGGGAGGGAAAACAGAGACAGAGAGAAAGTAAGAGCATGTGTGTGTGTCTATGTGTCCATGTGTGTGTGTCTGTGTGTGTGTGTGTATGTGTGTGTGTGTGTGAATCTGTGAAGGTCCTGTTTAGTGGCCATCAATGTCTTTTTATTGTGTCTACTCCACCTCTAGGACTTCAGGGGACATTTCATGCCGTCTTTGCGCTCTTCTGAGCACCATTATCTAGTTTCCAAGAATTTTGAATGTGAATTCCTAGATAGTTCAGTAGAAAATAAACAATTGTCCTTTATAGTGAAGTTCAGGTAAAAGGAAAAATTATTGGTTCACCCAAATTACAGAATCCCCTTAACATAATTTTTAAAGGCTCACTTTTCTTTAGTACTTTTAAAGGCTCACTGTTTTTTTAGTTTTTTTAATTTATTTTTTATTTTTTTAGTATTTTGTGTTTCCCTCTAAGAGTATGTCATAACATTGGCAAAAGCAAGGATTCAGCTAGTAAAAATTATTTTCAGATTAAACACCTGAACTAGTTAAAACTCCACCTAAGAATAGTCTTAATGTATTTAAATGGCATCTCTCATATCTACCTCGTCATTGCTGCCATTTTAACTTAAGCAAATCTTTATGACATCTGAAATGATGGTTGGATGCAATTAAAAAAAATCTATGTTGGTGCTTTTCTCAGGTTTTGTCCTTTAAGTTGTATTGTCACAAATCAGTCTGAAAGGTTTAGGATTCATTTTAATTTACTTTTGAAAGAGTGGCTTACAGTTAGCCATCCTATCAGTGTTGTTAATGAGTGAAAATAGTTAACGTGTGTGTGTGTGTGCGCGCGCGCGCGCACGTGTGTGGGTTCATGTACGTGTGTGTGTGTGTGTGTGTGTGTATGTATGTGAGATGCTTTCAACCAAGAGATAAACTTACTGAATTTATCTGTAAAAAGTGTTCTGAGTATAATTTTACTCAGTTTACTTTATTCTTTGAAATCTATTTCCATATTATTAGGTAAATAATCACTCATTTTACTTGCTCAGAAGTTGCTTCCCTTGCTTTGTTACTTGTTTATTTATAAAATTGAACTTTTTCAAGTGTTTTGACACTGGGAATCTGGTTGTACAAAAGTAGTAGTTGACTGAAAGATATATATTTTTGTGAAATGTACTAATTCATAAGGTCCATTTTAGGGAAGGTCCAAAAAACTAACTTATCTGTGTTTAGCTGGTTATGGTAAATGATCTGAATTTTACTTTTGACACCAAAAGGTTTTTAATTGGCCATATCTATCTTCCAGTTGTATCTCCATATCAGTGAAAGGGATTCTAGGTGGACAAATTATTTAACAAATCCTGGATCCTCATTTTATTTTCAGATTTGAAAACAGCAGATGTTAGACCAAAAGAGATCCCTTTGTTCCATACATTGTTCTGGCAGTATTGGTGCTCAGGGGTCAGAATTTTCTGGATCTTTGCTAGTGAAGCTTTTGCTTTTATTTTCCTGGGACCACAAGTTTATTATCTCTCCAATGAAAATTAGATAGTTCATTTTAATTTAGATTAACTAATGTCTGCCTGAGTTTTTAACAGGCTGTGAACCAGTGAGTGCCTTGTTAATGTAGAATGATTTTTTTCCCCCTGTTGTGCATTAGCTTTCTCTGAAAAAGTCTCAGAGAATGGTATTTTAATTGACTTGTAGAGAGCTGCTACTATATTTGGTATCAATCAGCATCAGAAAGTCTTTGGTCTACCACACATTATTTCTCCCTGCTTCCTCTTCATTGTTTGGCTGAATTTGGCCCCTTTGGAGAAAACAAATATGACCTGTTTATACTGTTTTCCAGTCCAAAATAAGAGATACTCTGTATCCCTGCTCCAATTGTATGATCTATACCTGTTTTGGTGGGGAACTACTTACTTTGTAATACTAAAATGTACTGGTTGTTCTGTGTCTTCTCAAGGTCAGTTTACTAGTGTGGATCTCAGGGTATCATCAGTTCAGATTCCTAAATAACCCTTTCACCCTCCAAGCCCCTAGCTGGTGAGCCCTGTACCAGATTGTTTGATCTTCAGATATTTTAAATTTTTAGTTATAATACCAATTAATGTAAATCCAAATGCTAATTTTTGTGGTGCAAGAAGTTTCTTTTGTAAATTCAGGGTATGGATAAGCTAATTAAGATATCCAATTTTGGTGGCTCTTAAGTGTATTATTTGTTTTTAAATAAAGTCTACAAATAGAGATATTGTGCTATAGGTGTCTCATGAATTACAGTATTTATCAGATTGGGATGTAGCTCCATGACTCAGCAGTGAATCAGCTAAAATAATTTAATATAGTCTGATTTGGGGGTTTTGTTGGAGGGGTAGTAGAGGGGTTTAAGAGAAGTCACAGTATTAGACAAAGTAGATATTAGTCCAAAGTAAATGAAACAATGTTATTTGTTGATTATGAAGAAGCTTTAAAAGTTTACCATTACATAAAATTTGGGCCTTTGGAAAAATATTAAAATCAAAATAACCTCTCTGGGTGCCTTTAATCCTAGCTACTCAGGAGTCTGAGATCTGAGGGTAGAAGTTTGAGGCCAGCCTGGACAGAAAAATCAGATTCTCACCACCTATTAACCACAAAAAAGACAAAAGTGGTTGAGCACCAGCATTGTGCAGAAAAATCTAAGGGACGGTGCCTACGTCCTGCATTCAAGCTCCAGTACAGGAGGGCGCGCGCGCGCGCGCACACACACACACACACACACACACGACCTTATTGTTGGAACATACACACACACACACACACACACACACACCTGACCTTATTGTTGGACCAGTCCAAGTTCCAGGGGCATATGCATGTTTAACAAATAGTTTCATATTTTTAAGTGTTCAACTGAATAATTTTTAAAAATTATACACATAAAGTTAGTATGCGCCCCCCCCCCCCGCCTTTTGGTTACTTTCACAATCACAAGCTTTCCATGCCCTCTTTCCCTTCAGTGCAAGGACTCTGCCTGCCCCAAACCCATAATGCCTTTGTTGCACATTATGCAACCTATGATGTAGAATGTAAAATGTCCCACTTCTAGCTCCTGAAAGTATTTGTTTTTCCATTGCTGTTCTCAGTGCTGGTACAGTATTGAGAACAAGTGTGTACATACCTATGTATGTATTTTTCAGTAGTTTTAGAACACATGCTTTTTCATAAGAGCTGAGCATGATTGGCTGAAGTAATTTTTTTTTATTTTTGTCTAGTGTGGGGCTTGAACTCTGGGCCTGGGTGCTGTCCCTCAGCTCTTCAGCTCAAGGCTAGTACTCTACCACTTGAGCCACAGCTTCACTTCCAGTTTTCTGGTGGTTCATTGGAGATAAGACTTGAAGTAATTTTTTTAATAATGTAGCTCAGAACATCAAGAGACACAAAGCTATTCATGAATTTATTTGCAGTCAGCCTAGGTTGAAAGTTGTTGTGTGATCTTCCTTAGATTTTTGAAGACCACTGAGGGGTTCTGGCCTTGTACTAGACTCAAGGTATTTCTAGAAATGCCTGGAGGCCTGATGAATAACAACACCGTAAGTGTGAGGCATCAGTTATCATGACCAGAACAGTCCAGTTCCATCAAAAAGCATGTACACAGACACACACACACAGCTCTGAAACTCTGGAAATTGTACCCCTAATTTTCTGAAACAGATCTTTGTTTTGTTTTTTCCCCAGTGATAGATACTGAACACAGGGTCTAGGGTATACTAGGTAAGCACCCTACCAGTGAGTCACACTCTCACCCCTCCAGAACAGAAAATTTAATTTTCCAAAATCTACCCAACAACAAATGAGTCACTTTATATATCACTTAGATCCTATAGAGCCCTAAGCTCTTTAAAATGGATATGATTTGTGAACTGAATCTACACTATACTGCTGGTAGGAAAGCCCCATTTCATGTAAAATTCCCTTGTCTTTAGTGATTTAGCCATTCCACCTCAACATGGAGACTGATCCAGATGTTAACTCTGTGCTGACTTTTCCTGCATACTTCTCTAGAGAGCTAATTAGTCCAGTGATATAAAGAAGAGCCCACAGAAAGACATCTGCTGAATAGCATTTGGAGTATTACAGTTAGAACTAAAAGTTCATGTGCCATAGTTTTTTAATGTCTTCATAATACCCACAAAATGTAACAGATTCCCAGCTATAACCTCAAACCAAAATTTAAAAATAATGACGGATGGATGGATGGATGGATGAGATCAATAGATTAATAAAGATAATGGTAGAGTAGTTCATGCCTGCAATCCCAGCTACTCAAGAGGCTGAGATCTGAGGATCAGAGTTTGAAGTCAGGATGGGCAAGAAAGTGTAAGACTCTTATCTCCAACCATCCTCCCCTGTCCCACTTCCCCCATGCAAAAAATAAAAGATCAGAAATGAAACCCCAGCTTAAGTGGCAGGAGTGCTAGCCTTGAGCAAAAAGAAGCTCAGGGACAATGCCCAGGCCCTGAGTTTAAGCCCCAGAACTAGCACAAAAAGAAAAAAATACAAA